CTGTGCCTCTCAAACATACTCCCGAGGTTGTGACGTCAGTAGAGGAGGAAGGCTTTGCGGAGAGGACCGATATCGCATTTCCTGTAACGGTGCAACTAACAGAAGGGGGTGTGACAGGGGAATCAGCCGTTGAAGTAGAATCGCTAACTGCGGACAAAGAAGAAATTTATGAAATTTTAGCTAAACGGGAGGTCTCGGAAGAGGGAGAATTGTTTGGAATGGAGGTTGGTATTAAATCCGCAATTGTAGTAGAAACAGTCGAATGCTCTGTCGATGTTTTAAAGGTAATTTCGGTAGAAAGCGATTCTGATTACTTCGAAGGTTTTGTTGAAAATGAGGTGTCGAAAATCGGATCTTATAAGAGAAGTAGTCCTGAAATTTTCCACGTGGTATCTAGTAATGAGGTAACACAAGGAGTTGGGGAGGTATTCGTCATAGAACCATTATCAGTAGAGAAAAGTGAAGATGGTAAACATCCACGAGAGCATTCGGAGCTTAGTGATATGGAAGAGATGCGGATAATATCTGGTGTGACTGGGGAACAAGATCTAGGCCACAGAATTGGATCTCGTGATGTCATAGTGGGGGTGAAATATGGCGGTGATCGGGAGTTGTCTGCAATAGTGTCGGCGGTCAAGGAATTGACGGATAAAGCTGATTCTGATGAGGTGAATGTAAAGTCAGCAGATACCTTGATGGTTACCAAAGAAGAAATTCTCGATGTAGAAGAAACTGACCCTCGCTTAGAATCTGCTGGAGAAAGGTTTGTTAACCAGCTTTTGGAGGAAGGGCTTGGTAGCCAAGAAGGGGAACATGAGTTTTTGCCGGAGGAATTTTGGAAAACGGGTAAAATCAAACCCCCGACGGAAAGACCTGGGCGAGATCTTCGTGAAGCTGAAGAAGATGGTTACGATAACATACCTGTGGACGGAACTCCCGACTTTAACGAGATCTTCGTGAAGCTGAAGATGGTTACGATAAGATACCTGTGGACGGAACTCCCGACTTTATTTTGCCGGAAGTTGAAGCTTCAGCTGGTGCATTTGATACTGAGTATGAATCTGCACAATCGTCTACTCTTTATTCGACTGACGAACAGATTTCCGGCTTTGTTTCTGATTCACGGTCGATCGATCGTTTCTCGCCATTCTTATCGCAGGAATCACATCGCGAACGTGTGCCTCATATGTTTGAAGCAGAAAAAGAAGTGATATCTGATCCCGCATTGGACAATATTTTTGTGAAAGAAGATACTGGATTGGTAGACGTATGTTCTGGGGAAACGTTTGGCGGTTTTGACATTGATGAAGACCATGGCGAAGATACAGGTATTGAAAAACCTGAAGCTTCGATATCCGATCACATGCAAGATAACCTTCTTCCTAAAACTGTTAGTGTTCTTCCATCACTTTCTTCTCCAAGCAACTTTGCAAGAAAATTCATTTCTGATGCAAGGGAAGAGATGGGCCACGTTACACAAAAGTCGCGTAAGCAAAGGCTCCTCTTTGAGACTCACGTTACCGAAACAGAAGTGAAGGAACTCATGTCTGAGGTTAGGGAGGTTACACGTCAAATTAAGCAGGAAGTTCGAGAGCTGAAACCAGATCTAACGCCCACGCCCGAAGGAAAAGAATCTTCAATTTTACCACCTTCTGAGTCGCGCGAGTTTGTAGAACTGACTGATCTTGGTTGCATTAAGGAAGAACAAATCGTTGATTTTCACGAAGAAAGACCTCAGCGTCTTTTCATGTCTTATGAAAGAGACGATACGGTTATTGGAGCTGTTTCTGTAGAAGAAAAATTGCCTGTTCCTGGTGAAGAAGAGGCTGATATCTTGAAGATCGTGAGTGATTTAGAAACAATTCAGAGGGTGTCACCAGGTACAGAAGTACTGCAGAAATTGGGTGCAGAAAAACTTGATTTGACTGGAGAGAATGTAAGCACCTCACCTGTAGTACGAGGTAGTATTTCACAACCCCTAACACAATGGATGCAAGGAGGAGACGGTATTTTTGAAGAACAAATAAGTGATGTATCCAGTACATTCATGGAACTGAACCAAATGACTTCTGGCGAAACTTATTTTGAGAAAGAGAACATGTTACACAAGTCATCTACAAGTCTCATGGAAATGCAGGAGGAAACTCAGACACGGAGCACTGTGAGATTAGATTCTGCAACATGTGCTATTTCTGAAGGCGCTGTTGAAGTCTCAGACAAAGACAACGATTGCCTTTTTGAAACAGAAACAGAAAAGCATCATGCCTCGTTAAATGAATCTGAACGAACACATGTTTCTGAGTTTTCAATGAAGCAAATACCAGCTAAGTCAGGTGCTGAATCTGTAGATCTGTCTCCCAGTGAACATGAAGGAGCATTGCCTAGCAAATCGCTGAAGAAATTACAAATGCGTATGTCACTGGACATTGATATACTTGACAAGCATAGTTTCACAGAAGATAAATTTGAAAAATTACCTGTCCTGGAAGGAGATACAGAGCGGTTAGAAGGAGAATTTGTTCAAGGCGTTCCAAATGTTTTCGACACATTGGAAACAACAAATATTGCATTATCGGTGATGGATATATCAGACGGTAATTTATACCACGATGGGTATGTTGGAGAAGAAATTATTCAGAACAAAGACTCTGAGGTTGAATTTTCAGATTTCGGAACACTTGAAGAGGAGACTTCACTTTCATACGGTAGTTCAGATTTCGTAACGCTGGAAGAGGAGACTTCACTTTCATACGGTACAGTTGCCTATGGTGAAGAGGACATAGAATCCCATTCACCTGGCCCAGACGGTTCTGTCATTCATGAAACGAATCTCGGTACAGAAGAAACCGGTTCTTCGGTAGTCGTAGAAACATGTGCTGAAGTTGAATTTTCAACGGAGATACACTTACAGGAGATAGAACCGTTGTTACCGGTAGACACAAACATTGTAGAGGGAACACAACCATCCTCAACTGGAAAAGACGTAACTCCCATTCTGCAGGAAGAACATGTGGACAAACTTATGTCTGTTGTAGAGAAGAGTTCTTCAACTCCAGTCATCTTGTCTCCTGGTCTTGTTTATCAATCGGAATCAGGGACTTTGTCTCAGCAAGAGCTATCTTGGGAAACAAGCAGGAAGAAGGAAAGTGAAGGTCTTATAGCAACATCGGATTCTCTGTTCGGAATGTCTGCAGATGACATAGTGATGAAAGACGATTTACTTGAAGTCACTGTGACAGCTGGAAGGACTGATAGTGTTAGAACCGAGGGAAAATTATTTAGAACAGAGTCTGGTTCTACATATTTGGAATTTGAAACGGGAGGTACACATTCTCTGTGTGTGTGCGAAGACATCGTTACCAGTCAACCTATAACACTACATGGTCCAGACCCTTCCATCATTCATCATGCTGAAAAGGTTAGACAGGACGCATTCCACGATGAGAGTGGTAAGACAAAAGACTCTGTTAAATCCACACCGAAGAAAAAACGCTCTGAGAAACAAGTGCAAACTGCAAAGCGAGCTACAAGGGAACCTGGCACGAAAATTCTAGACGATCGCAAGACAATTACGCTTCGTTCCAAGGAACCCGATAAGCCTGCACAGGTAACTGCAGCTTCAAGCAGTGGGACAGCGTCCAGATATCGAGGTTATATGGCATCCACTCTATCTAGAGATCTAAAAGTTGAACGTTCGGTTACTGAACGTAGTTTGAACTTTAACAGAGATATTTCAACGAAAAAAAGGGTCACTGCAGACCGTGAAGACTCACCAAGTACCTCATCGCCGTCCAAACCGCCTGTCCCAAAAGAAATATCTGCAGGGGCTGTACCAAAATCTCCCCAAATGATTTCGAAATCAAGACGTGTTGAAAGTAGGAGTACATCGGCTGAGAAAGAAGTTCGGGAGACAGTGACCAGGAAACAAGTTAGCGTTTCAAAACACGTTAAGACAACTAGGGAAGATAAACTGGGAAACATTCGACTTACTTCGAGATCACTAAGCGACACCACCGTCCGTCAGAGGGACACTAGTAGCGGTGACTCAACTTCATCCAGTGTAAGACAATCACGCCTCCATTCCACTGTAAGAAAAACAACAGCAGAAACTGAAGCATCTCAGGAGCATGGTAGAAAGAGTAAACGTGAAGAACATACAAAATTAATGCGCACGAAAACATCTGATGTGAGGAAAGACAGAAAGAAGGCGGTCACTGACCTACCAACAGGCGAATGTCCTTCTGGGGCAATTGCCGACTCGAAGTCGAAAGCCAAATTTAAGGAAACTTTATCAGAATTAGAATCAAGTAGCGAGATCGATAGTGGAGTTGTTTTTCAAGCCACGCTGCATTCTACAGAGGTAACTAAAATAGATGATACAATGGAGGTACCAGTTCCAAGTTGTGCTGAGATACCTACGGCTGTAGAGCATGGTATAACCACTTCCCATATCACAGATTTCAAAGACATGCACATTGCACACACAATATCTCTTACCGTCCAGCCCAAGCCGCATGGTCCGACAGACGACGACGACATCCCAGCTTGGTGTCACACAGCTTCTTACTTCCGAGGTTTTCACGCGTACCGTTGATACCTCCGGCTCCATAGAAGTTGTATACCGGCAACCTACATCGTGTGAACCCATGCGTCGTGTCGCGGTCGTGTCCGGTACTCGGTCCAGTCATGACACTGTCCCTAGTGTTGGTAACACCGGTGCGGAAGGAGAGGTCTCACTCATTGACACTACTGATTCTTCGCTGTCAGATTCGGTAGCACTCCCATCGTCTTCTTCGGATCATGACCTGAGCGTGGACACGCGGATTCGAACCGGAGGCTCCCCGGCTTCACCCAGACCTACAAGGCGGTCGTTCGATATAATACATGATGGTGCAGGTCCTAAACTTCGAACATCGGATCTCTCTCTTGATTATTCTGCTGTCTCCATTGCTGAGTCTCAGCATCTGGGTCCAGGCTTGTCCGTCCCAAGGCTTGAAGGTTCCTCGTCAATAGTCCCGCCTGATGCCGTCCCCAGGACTTGGACCTCTGTCCAGATATCTGAGGAACGCCTGTCTCCAATCTTGGACGTTCATGCGGTTACACCTCCTAGAGTGAAACACAAATTCCAATATGAAGATGATGGTGGAGAAGAGGAAGCAGTTGCTGTTTTCCTGTCCTCTCCAGGTAAAACAGATCATCTGTCCACAGCACCTACATTCAACCTGAATTTGGCTGCTGCTGCATCTGTTCAGAGCATGGCTTCAGAACTAGAGCTACTATTACAAGAGGTCCAAAGGAATATGAGGTTAGATGATCACTGGGATTCGGAATCAGTAAAACTTAGGGTAGAGAATCTACATTCTAAAACTAGATTGCTCAATCAGTTTGTAAATAATGAACTCTATGAAGGTAAGTTTCATGCTGGAGATGATAAATATGATGAAGTTAATGGTGTAGAACGTACTGTACCAGAACTGCGAGCAATAATGAGTTCAATAGAGAGAGATAATACAGCTCTAAGTGATGCACACTCCGTCTCGACATCTGTATGTGTTCATTCTAATTCCCAAACAGTGTGTGACCAGGTGTCTGGAACGCGGTCCTGTGTACAAGGTTCCAACTACATTCAGGACACAGTCCGCAAGCAAGACATTATGTGTTCATTCCAATTCCCAAACAGTGTGTGACCAGTTGTCTGGAATGGGGTCCTGTGTACAAGGTTCAAACTATATTCAGGACACAGTCCGCAAGCAAGACACACCGACACATGGAACAGTAAAGTTCAGCTTAGCCATAGATTCATCAGACTGCTTATTTAATGAGGATGATTCTTTTGATCTAGCCGAAGAGGATATTTATACCCAGTCAACTTCAGGTTCAGAATTTGACTGTGCCATAGTAGAATCTTCTTCTAATCCTCTTGCAGTGATAGAGGAGGAGGCTGCAGCAGCAACAGATGAGGAACAAGAGTTAATTCCTATTGATGACATTCCTTTAAAAAAGCAGCATATTGACTGGGAACTTGATGTACTTAGCAGGTGCTGCTCTGTCACATCTGAGAGCAACTCTCTGAGTGACCAGCCACCAAATTTCTCAGTTTCAGATAGCAACATGGCACTCAGACCTGGTGATGTTATGCATTTGATAGAAACCACACTTGATGATGAAAGTGACACTGATGTGTTTATAACAAGACAGCTTGGTGACACAGTCACAACATCTATCATCGCAGATGAGCTTTATAGTTGTACAGGGGAATCCAAGAACAGTATTACGCCATTGCCACCAGTAGATGATGGGTTCAGTGACCTTGTGTTTCTTGAGGCCTCTGATGTTGATGAAGAAGGTAATGGACCATCAGTGTTCCCTAAGATGACCAGTCCTAATGGTAGTATGTTATGTTTCCCAGATACCAGAGAATGTAAGTCTTGTAAAGGACGTAGCCAATCAGACATATCAACCATTGAGACTTTTGTTGAGTCATCTAGTGGGTTCCATAATGTGCACAGTAGAGGAATCTTTAATCTTGCAGACATGGAAGATTTTGAAGCTTCAGCAGACAACGTTCATGGCAGTAAATCACACGAATTTGAAAGTACTGAGTTCCTTGATAAATTTACATGTGATAGGAATACTGTTTATGTGAAAGGCAAAATAATTCAGTCTACTCAACTTTCATCATCCCCAGCCATTTCTTCTGACCAATTCTCAATTGAAGAATGTATTTGTGACAAACTGAGTCTGTCACCTTGCCTTCCATCTCCAAAGAACAATACAAGAAAGATTTCTCTGGCTCCACGACCACCATCAGCTTCTTCCGGTGATAGTGAAGTTCACCTGTCTGATTGTGATGAGAATCAGCAGAGTAAGCAGGGACTTGGCCATTTCAAGACAGCAAGAGCTTGTTCCTGCACTATTTGTGCAGTCATGGATATTGATGGCCTTGAGTTATTCAAAAATAACTTTTCCACCCACCAACAGTTACCAGACTTTTTAGATTGTGGTGCTTTTACTTCATTCATCTCCCATGAACCACACCATAAGCTTGACTTAGTTTTTCATTCAAAATCAGATGAAATTGTCCCTACAGATCTTTGTAAGTCTTCACCGCGAAATGTACAAGATAGATTTATATCGAAGCTCAGTTTTTCAGAATTATATGTGGATTCCCAGACTAATATTGAAGATGATGAGAGTACCTACAAAGGTACAGACAAGGGAGGACAAGTCACAGACGGTATTAAATCTGTTTTTGTTCTCCCACTTACAGAAATGGAGGAACTTCATGCTACATTATCTGTGGTACATAAAAGTGAAATGAATGTAGTTAATTTTACACCTACTTACATAGCGATGAAAACCACACCTTTTACAGATTTGGTGCAACTTGGGTCAGAGGGAAGCAATGAAGCTGTCACTCTAAGAATTGAAAATTCACAGTTAGGGCAGACACCTGTTTCTGGAGATTGCACTGCTGAAGGCAATCTTAAGGCCAGTGAAGTGGATATGAGATTCAGTGAAAAATCATCTAATTGGAAGAAAGAAAATTATGATGTAAACTTCAAAGAAGTTACTGGTAAAAACTGTGTGGTGGTTGAACCTTCAGACAATATCTTGTCCATGACTACAGAGCCCACAACAACTAAGAACTATAAAACCAATGTGCTGGATATGCATGTGTCACATGACAATTTGGAATCAGAGAGCAATCCCAGTTTCATCATTCTTGATACTGAAGGTGGAACTGTAGCCCCACCAAAATTTGGTGCTAATGAGTTGACTGTTACAGATGATTCCCATAAACTGTTAGTGCATATATCATTGTCAGAGACACACTCTGAATCCCATGGGCTATTTAGTGATGTCCAAAGTGGATTCTGGAAAACTGATACTGTGGATCAGATAAAAGGATCAGGTGATGAGATAGAGACCATCAAAGAAACATCTCCAGGTATTTCTGATACTGAAAGAAGTACTGTAGAAACTAGCAACATAATGATGGTTCAGAACAAGTATAAGCACATTCTTCCTGTAGAAAACAGTCAAGAACCTGAGACAGATGCAGATGACCTGTATTTGAATGGTTTCTCAGGTGGTAGAGATCAAAAATCAACAGCAAAATCAAGCTTTATTTCAGTTATAAGAGACAATCATTCTATCGCAGATGTTAAATATCTTGAGGTGAGTGATACAGAGCATTTAACTCAGCATTCAGCATTCATTTTTACAAAAAAACATGTAGACACAAACACAGATATCAAGGACATGGACATGTGTGAGGATGAGTACCATAAAAAAGACACGTCCATTATTTCTGACATTGTCAGGCACGTGGATTATGACATAGTGGCTATGGAGGCTGATGGACCGGTTCCAGCAGAAACTCGACAAGTGCTATCTGCAACATTATTTGGTTCACCCACTATAGGAATGACTTCCCCAGATATTGAAATGTATAGTGGCAGTTCAACTGACACTGAAGGCATTGTTAGATCTGAAGATGCTGAAGATATTTTTTGTGGTTCTCATGCAGATACTGCAACACCAGTGGATTTGGATTTAGGCACTGAGGACCATCTCTTGTCAACCATTCACATGCAACACACTCATAAATTCAATATAGTTGCACCTGAAGAAGCTGGTCATGTAAAAGGAGGTGGAGACATTCAGGAAATTGTCACCAATGATGAAACATCACAACAGTACTACCCTGAAGACCATATTTGTGTAGTAGATGTAGAAGACCAAGTGTGTGTATGTGTTGCTGCTGAGGATGTCACACAAGATACAGTGTGCATCTGCATTGGGAAACATCATGGTGAGCTGACAATGGAATGGAATGCTTCCTGTGGGTCTGCATCATCTCACAGTGGTAGCTGGAATGCCACTCAGGAACATGAAGGTATAGGCTGCATACTAAAATTGTCCTCTACTACTTCTTGCTTTCCTCCCAGTTGTATTAGAGCAGATTCAGTCCTCTATGCAAACAGCAGTCCCACATTATAATCCTACTCAGCCAGCTGGTAGTAACCCTGTAGCCTGCAGTTGTGTAGTCAGGATACTGAAAACAACCTGGTAAACATATCTGCTTCATCTTGTATCAACAGCAGTCAGTGTTAAGTTATTTCCACACCACTAGAATAAAGAACCCTTATGAACCCTCATGTCTGATATCACTTGTTCAGTCATGGACCATGCTTTATGTAAACAATCCAGTCATCTTTGAAATGACTTCATATTTCAGGCATGACAACATTTTTTCCTTAACAACAAAGGAAGTTATTGTGTATGGGGAAAGCATAATGTCGAGAAGAAATTAAGAAATCAATTGTTTGTTCTTATGCATTTGTCTGGCAATGTTCTACTAGACATGAGAGCTATAATAAACTTCCACAAACTTTAACTTACATCACTGCCGTGAAGTTGAAGACCTAGTAGTGTTTCTAACTTCATTACCTAGTTTAAAAATCTCTCTGTTCACAAAGAAATGCTATTAAATGTACTGAAGCCTCTGAATATGGATCACTGCAGACTTCTGGATCAGTCTTCAGACTTAACTCTGACCAAACAAACATGAATAATGGATCTACAGTAAACAGATTAGAAGAGATGAAGGACTACTGGCATTATAGCTGTGTATTTTAAGCCCATTGTTTAATTATTTCTCTTGAAAACTACATTCCACCTTTCAGAACAAGCAAGTGGTGTAGAGACCAGACAGAAATCGACGTATGAAAGGATTCATGTTCTGAGAAGCAGAATAATAGCATGACAGCCACAATTATGGCTCCATGCTTATTGCTACCTGTAACACCAAGAGATGGAGATTTTACAGTGAATTGGAATCACTTCTTGAGTGAAAATTCTGACACAGGTATCATGTGATGAAAACTGTCATAACTGGTCAATAATTATGGGATTCTGCGTGACAAAGAAAAGTCAAAGTAGCATGGAGTAGTACTACAGTGAAACCTCTATCAATCGTTCCCGGAACTATCGTTTTCCCGGATGCATCGTTGTCAAAGTAGCATGGAGTGGTACTACTGCAAATTCAGCATAGAATCAAGATTGTTTTTCTCTTAATGGAAACATTAGCAGAATTGGAGAAGAAATGCAAAGTGAAGAATTAATTGACTGTAACTTGTCTCACTTAACCGACTTGGTATATATGTAGATCTCTTGGGAAACAATTAAATAATTACAAGTACCATAATATAGTTGTGTTATGTAGTGTAGGTAGAAATCAATAAGACATTGAAGAACATTATACCCAAGTACTTTGTTGCTTACATGCTGCTTTTCCAGCTAGTGACAATGTGTTATACTGTTGCCTGAATTGAGACTTCGTATGTTCAAGCATTGTGCCTGTTCCATGTATTTTATTTATGGTTTATTAAATGAGCTGTCAGTACCTCAGATTAAAAGGTGTTGGCCAGTATGAATAATGAATAGTAAAGTATGTTGATGGAAGCAATCCTGGCCTACTTTAGTACACTTTCTTGATATTTACCTACAGGGACTGGGGAAAACATGTAAAATATCAGTGTATTTACCTACAAAGACTGGGGAAAACATGTAAAATATCAGTAAGGATAGTATTCTCAGGTCTGATACTTGAATCCATAAGCTCCCAAATGCAAAGCACTTTTGTTAACCAGTCAGTCATGACATTTGGTTGTTCGCAGACGTTACTTTTTGTATGGTGTGTTGGAAAAATTTGGTTTCTCTCTTCCAGTTCATATTGTTCAGAAAATACAAGATGTATCGTTTCTACTGAATATCCTCTTCTACTTTTTCCATGCCACTCACTAGTCCATACCATAGCAGGCGGTAAGCTACCAGCTTCTCACCATGGAGGCCTGTCCATTTGGTATTTGTTGTGGACAAAGTGGCACTGGGACAGGTTTTTCTCCAAGCCCTTCAGGTTGCTTATATTTGTATCATTCGACTAGTACAGCGGATTCCGGTTAATTGGGACACATCGGAACTAGAACACTTTGGCCAAATTAAGCGGCTACCCCAATTATGCGAAGTTCCACATAAAGAGTTAAAAAGGTTTAAAACAAAACACAAACTCCCATTTATTGAGATGATTTACTGAGCAACAAAAATACTGTAAATGAATTCTGGATCAAATGGTACAGATCAGAGAAAAATATTTGCGACCAACCAACACTCCGATGATTCACTAGTGTTCCATGAGATTGATGAAGGTGTTCCACCACTAAAATCAAGGAATGGCTATCTTTCCAAACTGGAATTTCATCATCATTTGTTGAGATACATAGACCATAATATAATACATAATATAACACATAATATTTTACATTGATATTGATATTGATGCTAGCTTCAGTGATGACATAGAAAATCTATTTTTCATGGTGTTCTGCAGGAAGCACAGTGACATTCAGGTACTCCACTAACTGAAGGGTTTGGACACCATTGATTTATAGCATATGTGTGTGAGATTCTAGCACAAATATGCATGCATTAATGAATTATAACTTGTTTCCCACAAGTTTATAAAAATAGTGGTGCTCTATTATTTTGTGCCAGATCCTTCAGTGGGAATGCATATAATTCATTAGCACTGTAAGAGTAGCACAAATTAGAGTTCAGGTTTGTTGTGTACTTATACATTCCATTGGCATATAGCTTTAATATTTGAACAACATGGTGAGTACTTTGCATGCATGGTCTGCTTTTTGATATGTTGTTTGTAGTGTGCATGTCTTTGGTTGAGTAAGAATAATATTCACCTTTTCCTAAGTAGATGTTCAGAAGATAAAAGATTGCTAAAACTGTACATTGAAAGAAAAGAGGTTATATTTTCAGACAGTAGTCTCATGTGTCTTATTGATTTCCTGTTGCAGAATGGGCTGCAAAATCCCAAGAAAAAGACAAGCACATTCATTCTACAAAATCAGGTAAGGAACCAAGATTAGAACTCTTACCTACACATCTGTAATAATATGATATTTACATGCAGTCTGAAATCAGAGTCTGTGTGATTATTATGTCTTAAGAGATCATCAACTTCTGGATGTACGTTTCTTTATCATCGTCACTTTTATAACATCCTGTCCAAAAGTGAGATACTTTTTCAAGTGGATATACCTTGTCATGGATAGAAATTCGTGATTTTTTATGGACCTATAACCTTACTTCCTTTATTAAAAGCATATGTACAAATACATGATGGACTTTCAAACTACATAAATGTTTATCAACATTTTAATGACACCTACACAATACACTATATTAGTTTTATATGATTATGGATATTTTCAGTGAAAAAGTGAAAACATTGGTTTATCTTCTGTGCTCTTACACAGCTGACCTATAGTGTTCATATTTAAACTTTATCATTTCTGCGTCACACAGTCAGACACATTACAGCTGGACATGCTTTGCCCTAGCATACTGCTAAAGTAGCCCTTTATTTAGCGCCATGTTAAAGCAGACATGACACAAATTTTGTTCACTGCTCTGTACAATATTCTGTTACATATTTCAGCTGTAATTTATTTATCATTATCAACTTTTAAAGGTTATTTATACCAAAAATTTGTGAAGTTCAATTTATATAGTCATGACATTGTCACACATTCAAGTTCTTGTCAGCGGCTTCTGAATGTAAGCTATAAGGGTAACAAAAAGGATGCCAAAGTAAATTATACTTCACTGATGTGTTTTTAATTTGGCACCTGAAGTATTTTAGTTTGTTGGCAGCAAGGGGATGGGGCAGTTGGTGTCTTTATTTTTTTTTTGGGGGGGTGAATAGACCACTATTAGAAGTTCTGAATAAACAAACTACCCTACAACTTGTAGTTTGCTGCACCTACTGTTTGTGCTTTGCTGGTGGTGAGGCAGCTAGTGTGTTTTGACAGTGGTAGACCAGAACACTGTTAGAATTTTTCAGTACAGGAATTCACATATGTATTCTTGTTAAGCTAGTGGGAACTAGTGAAGAACTTAATTTATTCCAACAGAATGCAATGGTCTTTTTGTAATAGTAGGGCAAATTTTGAGGAATGGAATAGAAACATGCTGTGAAAACCTCAAATCTTACAAATCATTTTTCACCTCCTGGATCTATAATAGTTAAATAATTCTAACCACCTGTGATTGCAAAACAGGCCACTGAAAGTGTTATATGACTTTGTACAATATTTGTTGGAAATGAGTGAAAGGAAAGTTGGACTTCAATCCAGCTCAACAGGAAGACCAAACCCATAAGCCAATCAAATGATTCTTCTCGAAGCTTGACACACCAGAGCCTGGGCAGCTGTAGGATTATTCTTACATCACTGTCTGTGTTCAGTGTATAAAAAAGAACAACAAATTTTCAGTACTGTAAAGTCAGCTTATGTATGAACCCATGTTTTCATACTTTCCAAATGTACATGCATATGCTTATAATCAAACTTATCTGTGTATGAACCCATGTTTTCATAATTTCCAAATGTATATGCATATGCTTATAATCAAACTTATCTTACAGTGTAGGAATATATATGTTAAGAATAAGTATTGTACATTTTATTAATGTATTTTGTATTTAATTTACCTCAGAAATCTATAACATCTTTGGGTAAAAGTATTTTGTTGTATTACAACCTAGAAATGGACAAAATATTTTCTTCCAAGAACTTTGTACTACAATATTTTACAAGTAATAGTATAATAGATATGCATATTTTGTCAGTACTAATACTGTTACTGGTTCAAACCACCAAATTCTATTGTATAATGTATACTAACAGATAATCATCAGATTCTGCTTTTGGTCTTAGAATATATTTTTTACTGCATATGTACAAAATATATTGGTACTTCTTTGGTTCTGAATCAACACAAAACCTGTGTATTAGTTTACATCTCATTTAATTTGTTTTACAAATATTTGTTTCTTAATTATTACACTGTACATGCACTTATTACTTTCTTCACATAACAGGACTCCTTACATGACTGTATCAGTATAAGAAATGGCAACCACATAATTTAATGTAATTTCTGTATTATATTAGTATCATCAGTACAATAGTAAGTAATGATTTCTAGACAATGTTGATATATATTTTTTTAGTTTGTTTTCCTTTAAGAGAGTAGTGCACACTTCATATCTGCATGTGTATCCCTCATATTCAGTTCATCTTGTATCACTTGCAGAACAGATTCCTCTTCACAGGACATTTTAAAGTGCACTAATAATCATCTTTGTTGTGTTTACCTTAGACTTGCAGACTAAGTCATGCTGCAGTTATTGTTTTTTCAGTAATGTGGAAGGAGTTAAAAACTAATGCAGTATTACATTAGAGATCTGAGTTGAGATCACATTTATCTACCAAGTGGGCCGCTAGTCTAAAGGAGCCAAAATAATATTAAAATACAATATTTTGACAGTTTGTGTGACTAAAATGTGATTTTCCACATTACATAGTAGTATAATATTCTGAGACACCATGTAACAAATGGTGAGTTTCAGTAGGTCTACTTCTACTTGTGAATTAAGCTCTGCAGTGTGGTTGCTTGTAATGTTGATTTTGTCATAGCCTTAAGGAATGTTCAACCTGAGAGTACCAGCTTTTGTATTTTTGTATTGTTTATTGTCTCTTATTTGAGACATAGAAGATTGCTTTTACTTTATGTGTGACATGCAGTTAAAAAATGTAATCATTTTATTCCTCTGATAGTGTAAGCTGACTTCAATTTTATCACATGATAGTTTCAATATCAAGAAACAATAATTAGTGAACTTATAATTAAGTCAACATCTTTTGTACATATGCTAAGTGATACTGATATTATTGGAGCAAGTTGTGACTTTTCTTGCTAGCATTTTGGTTTGATATTGAAGGTGAAAGGTCTTATCACTGAAACACATGCGCCTAAACTGTATTGTGTTGAAGCAAGCCTCGTTAGTTATGGCAGATTTTTTGGTGCCACAGAGAGTATATTTCTGTAGATGTGGTTTCACCCATTGTAGTTGATAGCGATAGCACATCGAATTATCTGTGTAGCGGTTTTTTGCCCTTCTTTTTCTTGAACATGGTTATAACAAATATGAACCCCTCAATGTCAGTGTATTCATATCTGTTAACTGTAGTCTTAAGAAATGTCCATACCAGAATTTAGTTGCACAAAAGTAATGAGGGTAGTACTGGTGTTTTAAGTGTGATGTTCCTTGCTGCAGTGTTATTATACTGCAATTCATAATAAACAGATCTCAGGTTATATTATGCTACTCAAAAGACACTTTTTATGGTATGTTTGAAGTGACAGTAATCACAGCTTGGTTCTGTGATGTATTTTCATAAACTTTCAAACAGAACTCTCTTCAGCTATTCACTGTGAGACTCTGTGCTGTATTTCATGTTCTCTCTCTTTGTCTCTCCACATTTCCATAGAACGAATGTTTGCATTCGTCGTCAAACACAGATTTCCACTTGCAAGATTTTGTTTTTCTACTTTTTGTAATACATACTTGAGACACAAATTTTACTTTATGATTCTTGCATTATTGGATATTCTTGATATCATCTCTTTTATTTTCTTCTGTTATTTGCTCAGGTGACTAAATGTATACTTCTGTTAGACCTAGCTATGGCCACCCTAAATAGCGTTGATCACAGTCCATCTGTACTACATTCAGAAAATACCATACTTAATTTAAGTTTGTCACCATATCATATCTCATGTACTCATACTCACAGCATATTCTTCTCTTATTATCCATAATATACTAGTGAGAATGTTTCTAATTGAAATAAATTAGGGAAATAATCTTTCTGCTCATTTTATTTTGTTTGCATGTATTATCTAATAATGCTAATATCAGCCATCAGCAATAGTGTATGCTGGGCAAAGGATATGCTTCTAACAGCATGCTGTACTGATAATTCGGTGGAGTATCGTTATCAATTACCATGCATTTCATATAACTAGCTGTACTTCCAGACACTGCCGTATGATATTAAGATGGTCATAATAGTAAGCTAAACCTGGCATCTGTTTTTGTTCTTTGCTGCAAGAGTTGGTCTAATTGTAACATGCTTTCATTATTATTTTTATATTGTATGATACTAGTCTTTAAATAGAGCTAACAAGGTTTAAGTGTGCCACTGTTTGGGATTTTATATATCTTTCATTATTGTCTTCATTCAAGGTTTAGTAATATTCATTCGCAGATTGTGTTGTGCTGCCTTGCAATACTAGATGATCATAAATTTTTGGCTTAGAATAAGTTAAACTTGGCATCTCCATTTCTTCTCTGATGCAGAAGTTTAAGTAGTTCTAATGGAAGCATTGATTTATTAACTCTTGTATTAAAGGCAGGAACAGTTATTAAATGGAATTAACATTGTTATAAGTGCTTATAGTGCCAGTGTTTGGGATTGTTTCCTTTCTATTAGTTATCGTAGGTTGTTTTTGTTAATATGAAGTTATGTTAAATCCCAGATTGGATGTTGACCACATCAACAGGCGGTGTTGCAGTTAAGGGTTGGGATGCTTGTGGCCACACAGCACAAAATCTCCTCATCCTCCACCTAATCAACCTGCGTTATTAGATAGATATTTATAATATCAGCATAACTGCCAGAAATATCAGGAAATTTGCCTGTTAAGTGTAGATTCTTCAGAAAGTGTTTTTTTCACAGAATCAGAAGTGAAGTATGAATTCCAGTTACCAACAGTCTCCACTCAAAGTCAGGAGTCTGAAATCATAACCCAAGTTGGAATAGTTCAAGAACTTTTACCGTCTACTGACACAGAATCTGATTCATCAGCAGAAATAGAAACATTCAATATCAATTTTCCTAAGCATGTGCCATTGAATTTAAAAAATAATGAACCAAAGGAACACAGAAGCAGTTTGCACATTCAGCCAGAGTCTGATCTTTTTCAGTTTTATCCTGAGGTTACACCATTAAAGACTACTGATATCTTTAATACTAAGCCCTCTCAGATGCCTGTGGAAAAAACTGTGTTGAGAAAGCTGAGTGGAGTTGAGTCATTGCCATCAGATGCATATGCAGAGATTTCAAAGCCCTTAATGGAACCCAGAACTACAAGCAAAATAACAAAAACAAAGAGACCGTTAATGATGACTGCAAATGTGTTATCAAATCAAGACAAAGAGTTTGTGTCCCCACAGGTAGCAAGTAATGATAAACCTGTCAAGGATGTTGTAATTCCTGCAGAAATTACAGATGAATTTAAGGAACTCCAAACTGTTGGTTCAAATTTCACCGAGCCTTCAGTTTTCAGAGATCGTGCTCAGGTGGAAGAGTTGGAAGCTGTAGTAAAACAAATACTGTCAGAGGTTTCAGTACAGGGAAATCTGTTGGAAGAAAGTGAAAATTTAAAATTTCTTTCAGAACTGAAGAATGGGGTACATGAAGTTCCCAGTACAGAAACACATGTGAATATCTTTACTGTGCAGCCACAAGAAGAAGCTGTGATAGAACTGTTACCTCGAAAGAAAACACTTGCCAGAAATGGAGATCAAGTAAACTCAGAACAAGGTGCAGAGGGTAGAGTGTTGGAGAGTTCTATAAACCTAGCAAGTCTTCATAATGTGGTTCAACAGCCTGATTTCATTAGCCATATAGTTGAACCAGAAAGCACACATGAAATGAAAGTAATGTCTGCCACTCCAGTGTCATGTTCTGTCAAGCAGAGGGATGCAGCAAAGCACAGCAATAAATCTGAAGAAAACAGTGACAATTTTTATGACTGTAAGTGGTCTAATATATGTCCTGATGAGCTGCCGTTCTTAGTAGCTGATGATATAATGTTGCCAATGTCAAATGAACAGTTAGAAACTATGCATTCTACAGATGACACATGGTCTAACATATTGCCCATTGATTCATTTGTTCATATTTCTGACAATCCAGAGGAAAGTGAAAGAATGGATTTCCCCACATATTTGTCTACTGGTGACAAATTTAGATCCCTTCATACTAAAAATGATAAGAATGCTGTGGAAAAGACAATACATGTAAGTGATGATGATGATGACATTGAGGTTAATGTTTTTGATGAAGACAACCCAAGACATAGTCTGCATGAGCTAGAGGAAACTGTTAGCCAGTTGGTATCAGATATGGAGATGGATGAGAATCAACTATTAGAACACTTGTCATGCTTAGAGAATGAAGGTGTTACAAGTTCAAAGGCAAGTGATAAAGATGTTTTACAGAATGGTAATTTGAAGTTAGAAAATACTATGTCAAACATTACAAGCACACAGTATGAAAGTTCTCAAAAGCATGGACCTCTTGAAGACAATAGGTCTATCAGAGCTGAGATTAAGCTTCTCGTTAAAACATCAGATACTGGCAAAGAGGAAATAGAAATTCGCAGTATGAGAGAATATTTGGATACGGAGGTGTCACGTAGACAAGAATATGTGCCTTCTACATTCAAAGGAGATCCAAAGGCTTCTGAGGACATGTTAAAGACCTTTCAAGAGCAAGTAAACCTCCCTCATCATTTGAAATTGTTAGATAGAGAAATCTCATTGAAGCTCAATCAGTCACCTGGGTTTAAAAATGATGAAAGCATTCGGCTTTCACATGAACTCCTGCAAAGTGATCCATCACACAACATAAAAATATGTAAAGGAACTACAATAGGAAATGACCTTTTAAAAAATACTGAATGTATACCATCAGTCCATAATCTAAAACCAGCATATACTTCAGTTCCTTCAGAACATCAGTATTATTCCACAGAGAAACCCCTTCTTTGGCCACATGATATTAAGCTGATCGGTGATTCTGCAACACAGGAACCAAAGACACACAAGAAAAGGCAACAAGAGAATATTCTGAACGATAATAAGCACCATTCAAAATATTATCAAGACCAGCAACATGAACAATATCAATCAGTGAAAGAAGAATCATGCAAATATAGCCAAGAAAAGACGATAAAACAGAAGATAAGAGAAATTAGAAATAATAATTTGGAAATGAAAGTAGAAGAGACAGAAGCAAGTGCAAAATGTCCACCAAAAATAAAATCTTTAAAGGAAGGGAAACACACCCAGAAAATGAAGCAATTAGAGAATAGTTCTGAAACGAAGTTAACTGGAAGATACCAACAGAAAGTAGGGCACAAACAGTCAGTGGTGGAAGAAACACAGATATTACAAGAACAGAACGCAGAAGAGACAGCTGAAACAATGCAAGGCAAAAGTCAAATCAGAAAACCCAGACTCAAACCAAAACAGCAGGAAGGAAAAGAAGAAAACAGACAGCTTCAACAGATTCAGAGACTTTTCATTCGTTCACCTGACTTTGTATTATCTGAACCAGTAAACCTGTTGCCATCAGATGGAGGCACCAAGCAGCGTAACTCACCTGTTGTGGGTGTTAGTTCAGCCACGAAGGAAAGGTCACACCAAATAAAGAAACTTCTTGTTCGATCTGTAGATTCTGAAAATTGCATAACATTCCCAGAAGTATCACCCCCATCCACCTTACCATCAGGCTTACTTCCCATCTTAATTACGCCATCTCCACCACCTCAACAACTGCCCAAAACAAGACTTTTTGAAAATCTTCCTCAAGTACCCCTTGCATCTGAAGAAGATCTTAGATCTCTGTCTTCATTGAGCCAAAACATCCCTTTCCAGAACATTCTTTTCTCATTTTTACCAATGGATAATCAATCAGACATATCAGACAGTTCAAATACTTACACTCCTACCACACATTACTTATCCATGCCATCTCTCTTGGTAAGAGCCTCATCAAATACCACCTCATTCAATCAGAAACCACTCTCTTCCTCCCTTACAAAGGTTGCATCAATGCCTTCACTTCAAGACTCCACATCTATAATTACTAAATTCCATAAACCATATATGTCTTCATCTCACAACAGCGATGCAGAACCAAAAGACTGGACTTCTCTGCTTGATAATGAGGATGAGCCTTCTGTCATTATGCAGGGTTCATTGAACACCAGTCAGATATATTCACCCTCATCAGTGGCAGCTTCCACCTTTCGCATTTCAGACACCCATCAATCATTTTTGCAACCAAACCCCTCTCCGCCTAGGTCACCAGGCTCTTCCATACATCATAGTAAGTCGCCGTTCTCATCATTCTCTTCATTTCACAGTGAAGTGTTAATACCACATAGGTCTCGTGCCTTTTATAGACATGAAAGAACATCTCCAAATATATTTTCTGACTGTTGCTCAGACCCTTTAATAACAACCTCACCTAAATCTCCAGGAACTTCAAAACAACACAGACACAATCAAAGTTCACAAGTGAATACCATTACTAGTTGCCCTCAAACACTTTCATCTAATGCACAAGCTATTTCAGACCCTTGGTATATGCAAACAGAATTCCTTCTGTCCCCTTCAGCCATTCCTTCAGGATATTGTACATGGGTTTCAACTCCAAACCAGCAGACGTACAGCAGAGGTAAGGAAGGGGTGGACTTTAAAATTTCATACTTTGTTGACAGATAATCGTTAGTGATAACAACTTAACTACTGGAATTCTAACGATCTCTTGGCTTTCCAGCTTAAAATGTTTGTGCATGTGGTTATCTTATGACCTCCAATGTGTGACTTTTACATACCTATAACAAGTATCAGTGTCCATGTATCATTCATTATAGTGTGGTGTTTCAACTGACATTCAGTAGTTTTTAAGGAATTAGATGAATTAACCTTAACACATCTTATCTTTTAATATGGATAATTTACATATGCAAATCTTGTTGCAGTTTGTTTTTATTTTTAATACTGAATGCTGGATTCTTAGTCTCTGTTATCTAATATTATTAATTGAATACACAAAATGAGATTCCTTCATATTCCTGAAGCTTCCATTGAATCATAATATGTAAAGCTGTGGACACATTATGTCAGTTCATGTTTTAAGATGTTATACACAGAGAGTTTGTGAAGGTTTACTGACATAAGGCAGCTGTCTTTTGGGTTGTAGCATAGTGTAGTCTGGTAGAAGTCTCGTAAACGTCTATCAGACTTCATGGCGCTACAACCCAGAAAACCACTTTCAGACTGACCACCATAAAAAACTTAGATCTTGTTTATTGACATGTAGACACAACATATAATTTGGTTGTGGTCTTTGGGTTATGATGCTGTATAGTCTTGTAGGCGTTCACTGAGCTAGTGTTTCTGTCCAGAGGGTAGAAGTTAGGGATGCAGGTAAGTCGAAGGTGGAGCTGATGGTTTCGAATACCAAGCATCATAATCTAGAAGCCTACAATCCAAGGACAAGAGTCTTGCTGTGCTATCCATATCATTATTAAATTCTAGGTAAAAGAGGAATTTATTTTCAGGTATTATATTTGTTATCCTTACCTCATTACTTGTACATGCATGTTCATGTACTTTGAACACTGATGAAATAAGTGAATTGTATTACATACCACTGGTATGACAAGGAACATCATCACTAGGCCTGTTCTTAGAGTAGATATTCAGTTTTGTATTTTACATGCCTTTAGAATTTAGAATTATTGGCTTATGTTAAACATAAGCCATGTAAGATACTGACTGTAATATTACAGGACAATCACCCACAGATGTATCAAGTGGCGACATGGCCAGAACATCCCCCATCATTGTAGGGGTAATGGAGAAATCTGTTCTGAAACATGATGTCAAGAAGGAAGGTTTGTCAAGCACAGAGGTTGAGCCTACAGTGACAACAGAATTAGATCATGGACTTTACAGAGCTTCAGATGACTTTATAGCCGAGGAGATGAAGTTAATTCAAGGGGCATTTTGCATGAAAGCAGCCTCTGAAGAAGTGAATACAAAAACTGATACTGTTCCTATTTCTGATTTAAGAAGTAAGGAAGAAGTTGGGGAATTGTTATATTTGTCAGATCTACCAAAAGTGACACATGATGAGTTAAAAGACACTAAAATAGATTCTGAACTCATAAATATAATAAAGGATGACCATAAAGTAGTGGCTGACAAGGCTACAAGTGATGCCACATTTGGAATAACAAGAGATGTTCATGATCAGGTCAAAAAAACAGAACATGGAATTACGAGAATTGAGTTTATGGCGGAAGATGAAACAGTAATCTTGTCTGAAGAAATGAAGGGCACTGTCAGCGATGACAAACTCAGACTCACAAAAGATGCTTATGGTCAACCCACACAAGTAGTTCAGGAAGATAAACAAAGGGACATGATTGAGATAAGTGGCAAGTCTGCCAGCGATTTTGAAATTAAAGAATCAAAAGATGATATGAATGACATGTCTCAAGAAATAATAGTAGACTGGAAGTTAAAGCAGTCTAAACCATTAATTTCAGATGAAAAATCAATGAGCGATATTATAACATTGAAAGAATCAAAGGATGCAGTGGCCATTGATAATGTGAAGGGAATGTCTCAAGAGGAAATATTAGGCACAGAGGGGAAAATGTTTAAGTCATTACTTTCAGGTGAAAAACTAGAAGAAGAAATTACACAGCTTAAAAAATCAAAGGGTACAGAAATCGCTGATGATTTAAAGGATATTTCACAGGAGAAATTGCTAGACAGGAAGATTCAGGAGTCTACATCGTTAATTTCAGATGAAAAAACAGACAGTAAAATTTTAAATGTTACAGAATTAAAAGATGCAGAAATAATTGGCAATTTAAAAGACACATCTCAAGGAAACTCAGGAGATAAGGTTTGGGAGTCTAAACAAAAAATTTCAGGTTATAAATTACAAGCAGATATTTCAAAAGATATAGTTAAATTATCTACAGAAGAGGGCAGGAAAGGTTTAGAAGATATTAAAGGGAAGGAAATAAAGCCAGCAGTGACTGCTGAGCCCTCTGCCAAAGTAAGAGAGATTCAGTCAGATACCAAACCCATTGTAACAACTCCAACACTGTCCCGACGAGGACTTGGGGGTTCACAGCGCTTGTCCCGGGACCAGCGCCCACCTCCACTTGATGTCTCTAATCTCAGGATGAGTAGTGAAGAGGGAACAGATGAAGACTTTGATGCAGTAAGATACATAGTGACTGAGCCTGGTGATGAGGATGTACCAAAACAACAATTCCAAGAAGAGAGCATTTATCGCATAAACTCCTCTCCAGATATACTGGCAGAGCCTCCACTTAGAGAAGCTTATGCTAGACAAATACCAACTGTTCAAGTCACAGAGGATATCAGAGACACTTCGGTGTTAGAGATTTCAGTTGAAGCAAAAGGAAAAACATCAGACAATGAAATTGAGCAAGAAATGGCTCATGTACCACAAGTACAGTCTCATATCTCAGAAAAGATTCAGACAGCAACAGTAAGTGGACAGGCTCATACACAGCTTGTAACTAAATCTCCTGAACCTACCAAACAAATGCCTCAACCATTTATGCCAGTGGAAGAGATCATTGAACAGCCCCTGATAACATTTGACACTGTAACAGAGTTACAGATACCCACTCTAGTGCCCATAGAAGAAGATGAAGATGAAGTGCACAGACACAGGCCAATGTTTCGCATAGAATCAGATGATTCCACAGACCAGGGACTGGAGGACATTGAAGCACTTATTGAAAAAGCAAATCGTGAACTTGCATCAGAGCTGGAAAGAGCAGGATTGAAGATGTCAGATGCTGGTGATGAATCTTCTGAAGAAGAGGAGGCAGACCTCAGTGTACATATTCCAAAATATGAGCTTGAGGTAGTTGAAAAGGAGGTTGTTAGAGCAAAGGAACCTGATCCTAAACAGGAAAAGAAGCTGCGTCGTGTGGAGCGGCGATTTGAACGAATGGCATCAGAAACATTGGAGAATGAAGCTGCAGTGGAAGGCAGCAGTACACCTGAAGTTGAGCATCGCCGTGAGGCAGAATTTGATCGAATGGTATCACAGCTTTCAACAGAAGAGGTTGCGGACTGTCAGCGAGAATACTCGCAGCTATGGGATGAAGGGGGTTTGACACCATCTGATGACTGGGATTCGCGTGATCCTGACACACCAAGTGGTGAGTTGGAGGAAGACTGCACCACTGAATCACCACCAGGTACTTTGGTGTGATGATTAACCCATGATCTTGGCTCTTTGACAGTGAAAACACTAGAATATGAAGGTTATTGAAATTTATTAGAATGCATTAATTTTCAATTACTTTATATAAGGTTATTGAAATTTCTTTGAATGCATTAATTTTCAATTACTTTATAACTTAATTAGAACACAAAAGCATTTCCTGAAAATAAAGAGTTTCTATGTACACATTCATGTTTTATGGTATACATTGTACCATCAGAATTGTATTCTCTTTTTGTATGTTTGCATACTCTATAACACCTACTCTTGAAAATGCTAAAGTGCTGAGAAAACTATGTGAAAATAAGATATACTGCATAAGAGAGTAATGGCCGATATGGCATGATTTGATTTAAGCCTTTATTATTCGTACCCTTCATATAATATTGTTATGTTATGGTTTTTGGATTGAGGAAGATATGGGAGGGGTCTACATGGGGAAACAAAAAATTTATACAAAGGTCTGGTTGGAATGCATGGTAAAAGAACCATTTTTGATATATGAGAGGTAATATTAAGATGGATCATAAATGTAATGGCTATGGGGAAGTAAAGTTGTTTGAACTGTTATACAGTAGTGGTCCATGACAGGTTTTTGTAGTGATGACAGTGAATGTTATGGGTTATGAAACAAAAAGGAATTTGTAGAACAATTTAATACTTACCAGCTGTTTACAGAACACCTTTTACTATGTAGTTAGATAGATGCACTACCACTCCTCTAGTTATATCGTTAAAAAATTTGTAATTACCAGTAAGAAATCAAAGTATGATTTTTTCAGATCTAATTAATAAACAGTGACGTTATCACTAAATTTATGTACACACACACATATATGCATATACACATGCAAGGAACCCCGTTCATCAGTAGACTGGCCGGCTAGAAAACAGTTCGCCAACTACTATTTTTTATACCCGCCGAACCGTCTGTCATTTCAAAGGTTGCTGGCATTTGTCAACAGCGCTGCTTTTTTTTAGCATGGTCAGTTGTCCTTGAGATAAGTACAAGTACAGGTCGCAGTGTTTTGAAATAAAGTTCGATAAGAAAGCATAGTGTTGAATAGAAATTATTCATATACGATACATTTGTACAGCTTTCTTTATGGAGGAAATGCCGTAGAAAGTTTTGTAGGAAGTATCCTGATAGTACAGTACCATGTAAAACAAAGATTTACAATATCGTAACAAAATTACATTCTGCGGAATCGGTTCTGGACAAAAATAAATCTCTAAGTGGTTACGTAAACAGCCAAAATAACAGATATTGGAGCACAGAAGAACCTGCTGTTTATCAAATGCCATTGCATGATTTAAAAGTTGCAGTTTGATGTGCAATGAGAATGCGGAGAATAGTTGGGCCCATGTTTTTTACGAATCAGACATTCCGAACGTTATGTGAGATTGATTCACTGGCCGTTCATCGATCAGCTGACTACAGAAGAAAATTCGTACATGTCGAGGATTGTGTCTTTCGCGATCGCCCAATTTATATCCTCGTGACATTCATTTGTGGGGCACGCTGCAAGAAAAAGTGAATGTGAACAATCCGTAAGAAATTTTCAGCTATTCCCGTACAGAAACTTTGACGTGTGTCTAGGAAAATTCTCACGATGTGAGGCATGCTTAGAAGAAGAAGGTCGTCACTTATAAAGTAAGGCAAGTTACACTATAGCGGAAAAGCGGGCCGTGAATAACCGTCTATCGCGGCGGGTCTATGCGAGAAGCGTGCCGTGTAAGCTTCCGGATCCAGTCTAACGATTAACGGTATGCACTGTTTATGTGTGTGTGTGTGTGTGTGTGTCACGCACATATATACAGAATGCATTCTTTCTAAGTGTGTGTTGCAGATAACATTTCTAGTCCAAACCTGTTTCAATTTTGCCAGAACAGCTTCATTATGGAGGTGTGTTGATAAAGTTCTCTCGGGCTATGAGCCGTGTAAAATAGTTAAAAGTCACCGACGTTTCGAAGACTATTTCTGCCCTCATTATCAAGGCTAGTCATAACTGAGAATTTTCCTGTTTAAAAATTCAGGCACATGTGTCCAAAAATTATATAATATAACAATAAAGAAAGGTTGTGAATAAAAAGAAATCTTGGCAAGAAAATCCCGGAATGATAATGATTTTTTTTGTTTTAAAAATTAGTCATAGTGGTCAGAAAATATTGTACCCTGTTTCTCCCAATAAGTGCATTATAGAAGGGAACATATAGCAGCCAAACTGGCATTCCTAGTATTTATCTTAAATCTGTGGTTAAAAAGGAATGTGATGAAGTGAATATATAGCAGCCAAACTGACATTCCTAGTATTTATCTTAACTCTGTGGTTAAAAAGGAATGTGATGAAGAGATACAAAAATAAAGGTTTTTTCAAAAAATTTATGATTACTTTTTGGAAAAAGAAGCAGTATGGTGCATGTATTTGTTATGAAGGTGTAAGGAGTACGTGCCATTTTTATAGTTATTAACATACAATGATACACAAAGAGCCAAGAATGTTGTTAATAGCAAATACAGTTGTTGTCGCTGAATTGAGCAGAGAGGCTGTCTTGTAGCACAACTCTTTTCTGTTCTGCTTTTCATGCAATAGGATTACTTGTTGCTATTGCTCTTTTTCTTCTTTCTCTGACTTCTTATTGCCTTTGCATCAGAATGGGGCAGTGTATAATTAAACTTCAAACAAATGAGAATGTCCAGCATACTGTTCAGAAAAGACTGGCTGCACATTTTAATCAGACACACCACCAAATATAGGGCAGTGTAGAGGATCAGAAGAGACATGTGTATTATTGTGTGTCACAGTGGCTGCTGCTGCTGATGAAGACAAGCCTCAGGGCTACTCCAGTAATTTTACAATACCCGAGATTGTGGTCGAGTGCTACGACACTCCTGACACCAAGTTGTTTGATCCGTTCAAGTATGATCTGTGGTTGGTTCATGACCAGACGGACCCTGACTCTTTCATTTCAAGTGATGAGGTACTGGATGAAAGTGATGACAAGGATAACAGAAGTGAGCTGTTTGATGAAGTTAATCTCGACCAGCAGCTACTTCCTGAAAATGGTTGTTCAAGCACTGATTCTTCTCCAGAGTTGGATGCTGACACACTGCCAAACTTAACATATTTCTTAGATCAGGCAGAAATAAAATCAGTGCCTCAAGTTAACACTACTGTTTGGTGCAGTGATCAGAGTATGCCCTCCGTTAGTCATGAAACAATGAAGACAGGCCAGAAGGCTGCTGAAATCTTGAAAGATGCAGATGCCAGTGAGAACAGGGAGCTGTGTAGGTTGCTGGATGATGCTAATAGATCGCACCAGTGCAGCAAACCATTCTTGTATATGTACTCAGGCCCTCACATTAAACGGGAATCTTGTAGACTTGAGCAGAGTCCTCTGGGTGAGTTATATATAATTTCCCTCACAGATGGTATGTAGAAGATTTCTTCTAGAAGAAAATACTTAGAGCAATCTCTAGAAGCAATCTTTGAACATGATGCTTGGTGTGACTAACATAGTGAAAGTTACTAACAGAAAACCATCTGTGCAGCATTCATAATTCTTTGTTCATTCACCGCATATTGGGTATGAAGTCTTCCAGTCTGTTAGAATGACGGTAGAATAGCGTTATTAACATGTGACATAGATTAGTGTTGCAGATCATTTAATATGAATAATTTAAAATTAAGATAAAAATGACTCATGCATTTTCACTTCCCATGTGTAGAATAGATTTTCATTTGCTGTTATTTGGTTAGGACCATGACATATAAATCCTGACTAGATCTTCTTTACATGTGGGCTTATTGTGATTTCAGTGTATGCATGTTGTAAGTCATCTTGTGCTCAGTGATATCCAAGTTTACTGCTTTGGAAATTTTGTACATGTTGTACAGCACCTTTTCACCTGCACTAACAACACACTATGTTCCAGTAGAAATGATGCACATTTTGAATTCAGACATGAATTCCATTGATGCTACATCATTTTAACAGAAAATAGTTATGCTGGGTTTTATAAATTAGAATGTTTGTGGTTTTGACATATTTCTGTAATATACTTTTTTACATTTGAATGGTTAATATGATGAGGAAATGGAGTATGACACTGATGAAAGTAACCATGTGAACATACTTTACACCCACAGCAAGACATGGTCAAGATTTCTCCAAGGTGAAGAACCAAATACTGTGATCGCTCATTGTGGAAGTATAAAATTTGTTGTGTGTGACTTCATTTGCAGAAACTCTTTATTTCCAAGATTTTCTTCTGTCTGTTGTCTTAGTAATAGAAGTGGTAATAAAACATCTGTAACAGCAGATAATAACAACTTTGTTAGAACTGACAACTCGCAATACATATCTGACAAAAATGTAACAGTTGCACTTTCAAAACAGTCTTAACTGTAAAGAAAGTTAAACCTGCTGCTCCTAGGATTAATACAGAAATATTGACGCACTGTTCCCATCTGACTCTTCTAACACTGGCATTATGTCATTGTTATTGTACGCTTTTATGCTTTGTTCCTGTAGTATATGAAGTAACATATTGTAATTATACTCACACCTTTATGTGAAAAACTGAGTCTGTTAATGTACAAAAGCAAAAGCTTTGCACACTAACTCTTAAATATATACAACAGTGAATTTAGAATGGTTGTTTGTGGTGTTAGTAGTTGGTATAATTGCTTTCGTACTGCTAAATTTGTTCCTTCAAGTTTACTTAATTGTTCACATCGAGTGATATGTGTCTTGGCACTGCTACTTCTTTTATTTGTGAAAGACTTCTTCCCTATACTTATCGCTCTTTTGGATATTTAGTGGTACAGTGTGTGCAGAATTATTTCATATAAAAGTGTCAGTTTATGAGTTCTATGCTTAGTAATCATTAGGGACATATTTATCTTTTACGAGAATTTAAATATTATATAAATGAATTTGATTTTGGTGATTCATTTCCACTTATGGATCCATAGATGGAAACATAATATGTATTAAGTATCTCTTAACCTATCTCAGTGGAATAATGGTAGATTTGTGATAAATCCTACCAGCGTATCTGGACACTTAGTGCTCTTCTCTGTTCCACCCAATTCTTACAATTTACGAACAGTTTGTATCTTATAGGATTTGAGGTTTTCAGGGTGGTGAGTATGAAGATGGCTGTCTTCTGGGTTGTAGCACTATGCAGTTTGGTAGAAGTTTATCAATGATTCAGATGTCCTTGCTGCCTCCATCATCAGGGCAATGAGGGTGCTGCAACCCCGAAGACAGGCATCTTAGTTTTTATTTCAGAAGTGTTCAGTTGATACAGAGCTGAATATTACTTGTTGTTGTAGCAAATGAATTTAAATCATACATGGTTCTATCTTATCATTGTTTTTAACTTTTGATACTTAAATTATATGTGACAATGTTCGTATCATTGTACTGTGGTCATGTGACTTACAGGTTTAACTGATATTAATATTTCTTTATTTCAACGTAATCTTTTGAAATAACCCACATTTAGACACTGCCTATTCAGAAATAACTGACCTTAACAAATAAATTTGTCATGCAAGAGGAACACTCAGGTATATTATATGTTACAAAGATGGATGAGTTGCTTTGGCTGTTTGTGTGTATGAATGTGTGAATACATGAGTGGGGTGAGAGACATGGGTGCCACCACAGAAGACACAACAGACATTTTATTTGTACATATTAACGTGTTATGTGAATGAATGTTGCCCCACTAACATAATTGCCCTCTCTTCTAGAGAGCACCAGACCACTAACAACAGAGTTGCCGGATCGCTGGGAACCCAAGGCGGAGGAGCCTCTGACCTTACACCCGACTCCAAGCCCCCGCCTTACTCCAAAACCAGAATCCCGGGAAGATATAACTTCTCACCCCCATACATCCCCGGTGAAACCAGTAACTCCTGGGATTTCTGGTGAAGTTTCCCCTGTGTCCCACATACCAGTTCACAGAGTCAGCATTGGGATATCCCCTTCTGAAGCACTAGAGGTTTCAAAGACAGACAAATTAAAACCAGAAGGAGGGCAGGATATTGAGGTAGACATCCAGAGTTACTCAGACAGGAAGAAGTTTTGGGAGAACATGACAACAGGTCAAGTAAAGACTACTAGTGACACAGTAATTAAACAGCATACTCTGAGCCAGGAGTCAGTTGCACCACCATTGCCCAAGCCAAGGTCTTCAGGACCAATTTCTTCACCATTAATATCAGTACTTCAGGAAAGTGATGTGAAGTCAGAAACAGAGAGTGATACAGATACCATAACTTTTAGTGATTCTACAATTCGTGTCCATCCTCCATCAGCCTCAGTGAGGAAGCAGTCCATGTTCACTGGCTCCTCAGACACTTCTAACCATGAAGGATCTGAAACGGAAGCCACGGACATAGCAGTGAGCCAGATCAGTGGTGTACCAACTACAGTTTCATCTGCAGTTACGGTGTTCACCCAGCAGCACTCTCACACTGAAGATGAGGAGGCGATAGGGAGTAGTGATTCAGAGGCAGAATATCTTGCCAAGTGTATGGACAAACCTTTAGCATATGAGAACACAGCCTTTGTTGAAGATGATGGAAGTAGCAAGCCCTCAAGCCGCTCTGGGTCACTAGATGACAGCAAGGAAATTCCAGTAATACCAGGGAAAAGAGCACTGTTTGAAAAGAGTTTGGAACAAACGCTGCCATTAGCGGCATCAAGCAAAGTTTATGGGAGATCAGCGTCTTTACCCACTGATGACCTCATTGCCTTTGATCACAATGGTGGTGTGCGTGCCAAGAAGCAGTATTTTGAGGCCCAGATTAAAAAAGAAATGGTCGTGGAACAGCTTATGACACAGCTTGAAGAAGAAGCTTCTCCAGAACACAAAGCAATCTCCCAGGCTGCAGTGGATCAAGATAACATATCAGTGGAAAGTGGAAGTTACGTAGGTTCTTTGATGGAAGATGTGAAGTTAAAACATATAAGTGATATCAGATCCACAAGTATTACAGATGCCCCAGAGAAATATGTTCAGAAGCCAAGTTATGTAACTGAAGATGATAAAACTGAATTAGAAGTAGATAAAGTTTCTGGAACGAAAGCCGTAAGTGTAAAGGACATTGCTAAAGATTTTGAAAAGGAATCATTTGCTCCTTGTCAAGGAGTGGTGGTGCCAAGTACAAGCCTTCATGAAGCTTCAGATTACACATTAAAGGGCGCTGCTGGAGACTTTGAGCAACAGATAGTGAAACCAGAACTACTACGAGATGTTATTGAAGAGGGGAAAGCAATGAAAGACACTGAGTCTGCTTTTGAGAGTAAGGTGCAGGCTTCGGTGCCTGAAGTTGCAGATGGATTGACAGGGTCAGCTACAGAAGATGATGCAACCATTATAGAGAATGTCATGGAAATGAGATATGATGTAAGTGACATTGATTTCCCCTCAGAAACCCTGGAGGAAGAGACTGCCAATCAGCTAGCAGATGTGATACACTTCAAGACTGAAAATATTACAAAACCATCAGATTCACTTGAGGTACATGTTGACAAAAGTGAAATTGAGGAGACAGAGAAAATGTGTGATATTGAGGAAGATATAAAAGGAGTAGACCCAAATAGAACAGAGGGTGAAGTGATACCGTCCATAACTGTGACCTTGTCTGGGAAACAGAAGAGAGATAGCTGTAGCCAAGGCGAAAGCGAAGATACGGCTTCAGAATCAGATGTCACTCCTGAGGAACATCCATTGTACCAACCAGAAGAACATGTTCACGATACGGTATGGGAGGTTCCAGTACAAGAACAACCAGAATCCTTACTTAAAGAAACAGTGGAGGACATACCCATTGAGAAACAAGTAATTGTAGAAAAAGATGAAGACGAAGGCAGCGAGATGTCACTGAAGATGTCAGAGGAAGAAGCCCGAATCATTGCAGAACAAGTTGTGGAGAGCATCGAGGCAGAAGTGGCTAAACGAAGTGACCTAATCGCTGACACAGTGTCGCCACCTGTTCCGCCACCAGAAACTGCCGAATCACAAGTAACAGAATATCTACGCCAACTGGCCAGCAAGGAGGAACTGGAACCTCAGGAGGTTCAACTAATGGAGTCAGTGCTGGCTCGAAAACACCGAGAAGAGATGAAGAAACTGTCCCGCACGGACACGGGTACATCTAGCATGGAGATTACGGACGAGGACCTACGCAGCAGTGGCGTCGAAACGGACTTATCGCCACTTGACAGTCACGTTGGACGAGTACAAGAGCGTGCAATGTCGGACGATACTCAACACGATGACGTAAGTGTAAAGTTACAAGGCGAGGAAGTTGTCGAGAAAACTTTGGCTGAGGTGCGTGAGTCTTTAGAAGCAGCGCAGGAACAACTCATTGAGCAGCATATGAAGAAGGAGGAAGTCGTTCAGAAGAAGGAGTCGCCCTCGGAATTCGAATTTAAGGTACTGACATTTGAAAAGACGCTTGGCGAAAGTATCAAAGAATCTCATTATGAAGAGGTAAGTGCTACTGCCGAGAATGTCGAGTCTATGAACGATGGGGTAACAATCAGCCAGACCACGGATATTGGTATGAAGGAGAAAGATGATTGGGTTACAGAATTAAAGAATGTCGAGAGAACAGAAATTAGTGTCGGCAAAGATGGCACTCAGAAAATTACAGACACTAAACAGCAGATACTCGATGAACGCGACGTTAAATGCAAGGAATCTAGGTTCGAAGATGCTGCAATGATGAGAAAGGATGAGGGCCTGACTGGTGAACACCGTGTATCTGCGTCATTTTTGGATCAAGAAGAGTTATCTTCATTATGCAAGATAACAGAAACTCAGACAGAAACAGAACATGGAGTTCAGGCAACGAAAGTCACTGAGAACAAGGGTGTTAGTCAGGCTGTGAGTGAGGAAAAACTTGTGATTGAGACCAAACTGGAAGAGGGTCATGATGGATCAGCGTATGAAAAAGAGGACATTACACGAACTCATACTGAAAGCTCGAAGTTAGAAGAGAAAGAGACGAAAATACAGGAAGGCACAGAAGAAGATCTGAAGACTGCATTCAGGGGTCAGACAGATTCTTGTTCGGTGGAAGAAAGAAAAGTGGAGAGGTTATCAACGTCTACAGTTGTTGACAAAAAGGAACGCAGTACCGAACGCGAGACTTCTGTTTCGGAGACATCGAAGTCAAATCAAAAAACAGAAGAAGCAACGAAGACGGAACGAAAAGTTGAAATTAAGAAAATTTTCAAAATGGATTCTGATGTCCTCGAAACGACTACGATAGACCAAGTAATGCCAACATTGACTGAAGGCATTGAACTATCGCACGAGTCTATCCGTTTGACAGAAAAGGAGATGATACGAACATCAAGCGAAGAGTCACAGCGGTCTCTGTCTCAGGACGAATCCACGAAGTCACCTGTGGACTCATCTTCATCTTCAGGACGTCGGGCCGAGACGGAGACTGTTCGAGTTGTTGAACGTCCAGATGGTACTGAGGCGATAGTAGTCGTCCTACGCCATCCCCAACAGTCTAAGCCAGATGCCGAATCGTCTAGTTCTGGAGAGAGAAGTGGTAGTGCGACATTACGCGCCGACAGACGTTCTGGTGCTGACTTCGAAGCTTGGTCAAGTTCAGGTGAAAGCCATTACCACTCCTTTGAGCAGACCTCAGAAAGCGGACGAACTTCAAGTCGCCCTTGTTCGTCAGATATTGAAGCTCTGATGGCAGGAGTTGGTACCGCTGGATCGTCTGAATATGAATCTGCCTTGACATCTCAAGAATTTTCAGCTCGTTCTGCATCTCATGATTACCACACAGCTGTCAGCTCTTTAAGCTCTCGAGACTCAATGAAATCTTTGGACTCCGAAAGTTCTGGTCACCTGGCTAGTATTGAAATCTCAAGTGAGGCCTCAGAAACTCTAGTTCCTTCTGCGTTAGAATTGGAAAAGGATATGGAAGGAGCCTCAGGAATGTTGGTCATGGATGACGAAGACATTGAACATCGGGAATTGGAATCTTCTCAGCCGCTAGGTATGGAAGCAGTTGTGGAAACCTATGACGAAGTTCCTCATATAAGCGATGGACGACAAAGCCCTTTCGAAATAATAAGTGAATCAGACGTACTTGATTACCATAGCGAGGATATAGGTGGGTCGGAGGACGAAGAAGTTGATATTGCTGAAAGCAAAGGAACTCCTCCAACTTTGTCAACTGATGAATCAGGAGAAGATGAAAGGCCACACTGCATGAAACGATCACATGAGATGATTTTCCAGCCAGAACCGATGCCTATCATAACAGATAGTCCTTTGTCTGAATCTGGTACTGAAGAAAAATTTGGTTCTAGTGTAGAGGAAGGTAGCATTCTCAGTGTGAGTCTGTCAAGTGCATCAGATGCCGCTGGTCTCAGGACAGTGATAGAGCTCTCGAGGGCGGATTCTGAACGTATGGATGTGTCGGTCACTTCAGAACAACTAACGGTGTCAGGTACCTCGGAACAGCTCAGTCTGGAGGAAATAGACCAAACGACACTCACAGAAACTCAATTTGTTGAATCTGGAACTTGCACTTTCCCCACATCGAGTTCAGGTCGCGACTTACACCTATCATCTGTTACAATCACCACTTCATCTGTGGATGAGTGTGGTGTTCAAAGCGTGTGCACTCAAGTGACATCTCAGTCTCATACACCTGTCCAGAAAGATGAAGACGATGATGGTAGTCAGGAACGAACAACGGAGAGACATAGTGATGACTTTCCTCAGAGTAATGGCCCCACCCAAGTTGATTACGTTCCAGAATATGATGATGATTACGACGAGTCTCGGAAACGTCACTTGGGACATCGCCGAAAGGAAAGCACTAGTAGTTTCATACCTTCTGTGTTGCCAATTATGACATCTGCTGCACCAGCACAAATAGCTAGGCCCTTACCAGATTTGAGTCCATTGAAATTTGATATTATTGAAGGTGTCGAAGACATGGCTGAAAGCGATAAATATAGTGAGACAGGGACCCTCACACTGAAGGAGGTTTGCAGTGATGAGAAGAAAGATGTTGATGAAGCTGAGAGACTGGAAGAAGAATCTTATCAGACTGAAGCAGACCAAGGATTTCATAGAGACCTTCGTGAGGGAAGAGTTTTACTGGAAGATGTTGCGGGAATTGAGGAAGATGCTGAGGGTGAACTTGACACAAGTAGACCACAGTCACAAGTCAGCAAGTCAGATTCTGAAGGGCATCGTCCAGTGTCTTCAGGCTTCTCTGATGATCGTCCAGACTCTGAACTGGCCGAATTGCTGAAACAGTGCTCAGATGGAGGAAAAGATCTCGAAGATCCTATTGAGAGGCCCCTTTCTCCCGAGCCAGTTGATGAATGTGAAATCAAAGATGACACACCTGAATTTTCCTCTGAGGCTCAAGCAAGTGTAACTGAGTTGGAAATGGAGTATTCTGGTGCATTTAGTCGTTCGGTAGAATATGCTTCTCATGTAAGTCCGATCCGTGAAGAGCGCATTGGAATGCAATATGATGAAGCCTGTAGTGTGATTGAACAACATTCTGATCGTGAGGATGATATGGCTGAAGCGGAGGCTGCATTTCAGATGACTGCTCATGTATTCTCCGTTGTACCTCCTTCCCTTCCAGCAACAATACCTGAGGATCTGGCTGCAGAGAAGCATGAGTTAGAGACCCGAGACAGGACTTTGAAGGAAAGCAGGAGACACCAGGATATAATAATGACATCTCCAGCTTCCATACCAGATATCACAGTAACCCAACATATGACTCCGTTAGTGGATCGCGGGTTTCACTACCCTGATTTTGAATTGGAAGATGAATTAATGGTAGCCAAATCTGCCCCCCAGACACCTGCATCTGCATCAAGTAGAGCCTCTTCAGAGACTGAGACTGATCAAGGTCGTGAATATGTTTTAGAGGACGAAGAACATGATGATTATATTCGTGAGGAACCTGAGCTTGAACACAGTCAAGAAGATAAACATATCGAGTGTCAGTCCATGGATGAAGTCTCAGTTACTGAAGACAAAACTGTGTATGAATCCGAAGTCAAGGAAGGTATTAAAGCAGAGCCTGCTTCACCCACATCTGAATCTCCAGAAACTGATTCTTTTGAAATGTTGGAAAAACCAGATCTGACAGATGAGTATGTTGTGATTGAGGAAGTTGGAAAAGAAGCTGAAGAACATGACACAGAGGGGAAGAGTGTCCAGATTCAGAAGAAGTCTCAGGTTGTGAAGAAAAAGCATGACCCGGGTGATGAACTGATTTCTTCACCTCCAGCACCTGCTACACGCATGACAGAACTGAAGTATTACCCTGAGCCTGGAGAAGACATGGGTCCATTTCCATTTGATTCAGACAGCCCTCCAAATGCAACTGTAACCAAGAAGTCTGTTGGTGTCCGTGCTCATGATTTGGGCTATGACGGAGAAGAAGGTGAATATGATAAGGATGTTGAGGCTGGAAGAAAATGGATTGAGATGCAGTTTCAAGGTGACACTGCAGCAGCCACTGCTGTTGCTGGGTACGGCTATGAAATGGACTTTGAACGTGGTCCACTAGAAGATATTAAAGAAGAGGAAGTTAATGATTTTGACCAAAGCAGTAGTAAGGTGGGCAGCATGGGCAGCTACAAAGGATCAATAGGCAGCTTTGGAAGTGTGAAGGAGTCACTCAGTAGTACTCCAGAATATGATGTCCTAGCAGGACGGAAGTTTTTTACTCGTTCCGGTGAGCACGATGATGTATCTATGAGCTCACTTCAGGAATTTGAACAGTTAGAGCATCAGATTGCCTTGGAGGCTTCACGTAAACGTTCGCATGGCTCTCAGGATTCATTGAATGGAAACAACAAGCGGTGTGGTCGCAGTGGTCAAGGTGATGATGTGTCATTGTCATCTCTGAAAGAGTTTGAGGGCTTAGAAACAGCCTGCATTGAAGCTGCCAAGATTGAAACCCGGGCTAAGGAGGAAGAAGCACTTTTGTCAGAAATTGAAGAAGGCCATGAGAGTCAAGTGTCTGAGTCTGAGAGCTGTGAGACCATGTCTGTAAGTGATGGACGAGGAGTTTTGGGAGGAGGTGGTGAAAGTGTTGATTCTGATGACTACGAGAAAAGAATGTTTGAGATTGATGAGATAATCCGGCAGGCACAGTCAAATGTTGAGCGGTTTGTTGACCCCAAAGATGATGTAACAGAATCCGTTGGTCGTGGCGATTCTTTGGAAGAAGTGGCACGTGTACCAGAGCTTGATCTTGACCAACCATTGTATTTGTTTACTGGCAAAGTGACTACTGGTTGGCGTGAGGCAGGAAGTGATGTCATGTGTACCAGCTCTGACTCACTGGAAATGAAGGACAAATCAAGTGCCCTACATGCCAGCACAGACTCACTAGACCTCAAGACAATTGCTGATGTGATGACTACTAGTGCTGATTCTGTTGAGCTTCAAATGCAATTGTCTGGTCGAGGTGACATCATGACTGATTCTATGGAACTACCCGGTGATTCTGCAATGATGGCTACATCGACAGATTCCCTTGACCTTGGTGGAGGTGCTGCCGCTGGAGCAACTGTAATGACTGACTCTATTGAGGAAGAAGAAGAGGAAATGTCCGTGTTGGGGCAGGCAGAAGGCCAAGGTTCGGGGTCTGGAGGACATGATCAGAGCAGTTCCAGTGGACGTGAAGGTGACTTTAGCTCATCAGGAAAGGATGACAATAGTGCAGAACATGGTCGTGTGCCACCACCTCGATCAGATATGATGCTTGGTAGCACAGATTCTTTAGAACCTTCCAGTTCCACAGCAACACATGCCACATATCAGTATGAAACAGATTCTGTTATGTCATCAAGCTTTACTAGTGGAGGCTCTAACACAATGGTCTCAAGCACAGACACTTTGGACCCTACAGGAACTGGAGCTGGAGGGCTGGATGCTATCGATCTTGCAGCAGCTGCACGTTCTGCAGGGGTTTGGTTTGATGATGTGAATGGCAGTGGAGGAAAACCTTTTGTTACAGAAGTCATTGAACCATCAGAAGAGGATGAGTTTTCTCATACAATACGGCGTACTGTTGAACTCCCACCAGAAATTAGGAAAGTGTCTTTTCATGGGCCTGATGCAGAGAGGGCTTTAAGAGAATATGTAGAACGTTTTGCCCCTGGTGATGATGTTTCTGAAACTCAAGAAGTTGACAGTGAGGGTAATGTTCATATCAAACGTGTTGTTCAGCGTCGAGTTGTGGTCCGTTCAGAAGACATGACAGATACAGAATTAACAGGACCTGAACTTGAGGAATACTTGAGACATGTGTCCAGTGGAGAATATGAGCAGGCCTCAGGAGAGGATGTCCCTGAGTCTGACTATACACACCTCATGACTTCCATCACCGGTGGTGCAGAATCATTCACTTCTCCTCCTGAGGTGGTAACTCACCATACCTATGTCACACGTCACATGATCCACCCTACCCCTGGGGCTGTAGTTACTACCACCACCCAGCAAGGACTAACCACCACCACCACCCCCAACCTAACAGGTAGACATCCCCACTAAATGCCCTGTTGTAATAACTGTAGAACAACCAAGATAATCTCTGTTAACCATTGGTTTCCAACATCAGGATGCAACCAGAATTAGGGAGATGTGGTTTTTCTGGAAAGTAGTGATGAACTATCAGAAATATGTTTTCTTCTTTCTTTCTTTCCAAATGCTTAAAAGTTCTTGTTGGTAGCAGATTTAGGATCATGGCAGAAAAAGGTTGGGATACCCATAATGCTGTGCACATCAATTGGTTACATTTCAGATTATCTTGATTAAGACATTGATTAATTGGAAAGTTCAGCATTCATTTCACATACATTATGTACTGACCCACTGTAAAGAACACGATGCTGAGCTTTGTATAGCAGTAGCTTGCTTGTATTGTATCTATGGAGTAAAACCATAACCTCACTGCTACATTGTATGTTGGTAGTCATCTTATTTATTCGAAGGAAGAAAGTGAAACTGTGTCACAGCTGTTATCTATGTGTCCACAGCATAAGGTCAGTGCCCCTGTCCATTGTCATTCCTACTGGTTCAATTCTGCATGTTATACAATCCCTGCAGGGATGTGAAGGAAGTGTGAGATTTGAGGTTCTCACAACAGTGAAGGTGACAGTGTTGTCTTCTGGGTTGTGATGCTCTGTGTACTTGAAGGTAGTTATATACTGTTTTCATCTTCAGGGCTGTAGATGGAGACAGTATGTTTCTTCATTATGTTGGTCGTCTGCCTGTGAGTTTGTAGTGTCAGAACCCAAAAGGAGAACATTGTCATGTTAAAGTGTGTTTTATAAAGCCTTATTTATTTTAAATAATGATGAAATATTTTGAGCCGAACCATATATCCTGTATATTTGAGTCATTTGTGTGCATGTTTGTAATATGTCTGAGGAACACTGTTTTAAAAACTCATGAAAAATACCAATTTCAGCTTTCACTTATTGTGTTAATTTTTAACAGCATGAACAATGCATGAGTTAATTTTTTTGTTTGTTTATTGAAGTTTTGCAATATGAAATTTAAAGTATAAATTATCATAATGATGCTAATATCAGTCTTAGTACCCAAAATGAAAGCAGAAGAATGCTTTTCATAACAATTTTATCAAATATTTTTATTGATGCAGTTGACATATATTCACAAATATTAAAAGTATTTAGTCCAAGGTAATTTTATCAATTCTTATACAGTAAGGAGCACATTGCAATTATCTAAGCTACTTAGTACCATCACTAGTAAGTTTAATGGCTGTCTAGTTTTTAACAGAGTCCCTTAAAGTTATACAAAATCTTCTTGTTCTTGTTTCTGTCGTCACCCAGGTGATTTGGTGCTTGGTGATTGGGAGCAGCATCAGTCAGTAAGCAGAGAAGAGTCAGGCATGCAAAGAGGTTACTATTGATACATTTCTTGTTGTCTTTGTTTGGAATGTTATGTGTGTAGACCTGCCTCACTCTTCAAACAAATATGTGAATCATTTCTAACTGCCCACTGATCCCCATAATACTGCAGCTACCAAGTGTGTTTATTTTGTTTTCTACCAATAAATTAATCAGGTCTGTACAATAGTATCCATGTTGTATTAACCTGTATATTGCTGACAGTAAGAATAATTACATAAATTATCATCATATATCAGATCAATCAATAGTATCCAGTATGTTTACCATTATGTATTCCTACATGCAGCTGTCCCCTGGTTCTATTTTCAAAATTGTATGCCAGTAATTGCAGAAAATATAGACATTTGATGTCTAAATAATCAAATAAGGAAATAAATTAATTTTAATTTAGAGTTTAATAAGAACTTTGTAACCACCCAGTGGCATGTTTTGTGTATGTAGAATCTTTGAAGGGCAAATTTGTATAATTTCTTTAGCTTAAAATCATCCACCAATTATGAGTGGGGCAATAATATTGTGGCCACATATTTTGTTTAAATACTCCCTGATTTCAGATGTCCTGGAAATACCTAATTTTCTAAAGTCACTGGATATAATTTTACCTCCCTGACTAACATACAATGACACTGTTCCATTTTGGCATTTTCATGAAACAGGGGTCACTGGCATGATTCTAATACACACTGTGTTTCTTTCATAAGTCTGTGTACTCAGTTGCAGATTCATTCATCAGTTATTGCTGCCACCTAATGTCGTTAGGAGAACCTATTTATAAATATATCATAATACGATGTATTAACTTAAAAAATATGACAGCATTCATACAGCAAGTATCCCAACCATTTATTTAAACATATGTCATCTATTTTTATCCAGTTTATTTTGAGTTTTATGATCATTAGAATTTTACCAAGGATGTAATTTTGGGTCCATTTATTTGAACATGCTATTACATAATGACTTGCTAAAATTTCAGGGTTTTTTAAATTGTCAGGTTCAGTCTGTCTGACATTCAGGCAGAAAGTGATTTGTTGAATGTTGGAATGAGTCCAGCCGACAATCTGAAACAGTTAAATTACCATTCCTTTTTCATACCACCAACACAAATGGAGACTTGGATATTAAATTGATACTAAATTTGTTAGTTTTTAAAATACTTCACATGAAATTATTATGTCAAATTGTCTTCTCTTCATGCTTGAAAGGCATATTCAGACAATTGGTATAAAAACTGAATGCAGAACTGAGTTCACATAAATATTTTTCTGTGTAACCATGTTTCGGTCACTTGATATTTTCCTTCATCGCCATAGTGGATCTGGGATCCACCTAACCTGTTAACCAAAAGGTACTGGAGCCTCTTTCTCCAGTGATACAGCAGCAAAAAATGAAGCTGGTCATTAATTTGCGTTTAATGCCAGGACCCAGAATGTGTGTTTGTTCACCACTATGTCCTGTATATGCTTTCATGGAAAGTGAAAAATTGTCAAGGCCCAGATCTCTGAGTGTTTGATGTCATATACTTTAACACACAAAATTCCTTTAGTATGTTCTTTTGAGACCAGTAATTGTGATACAGAAATTTCTCAGTCTCTGAAATTACTTCTTGTGGCATAATGTTGACACATTGTGCACCACTTTTATCTTAGTGGGTATGACATCTGAATGTCATGTCTTATTTACAACTCCATTAGAGTGTATATGACAGTTTTTGGCAATGCAAATGTATATAGGGCCTTTATTACATGTTTTAGTGATTGAAAGCAGTCTTGAGTTTGAATCACTGATAGTTGACATTTTAGCAAGGAAATATTAATGTTTAACTTGTGTGAAAGGGCTGTGTATATGAACTGTGATAATTGGTCTTTCTAAGAGAAGCCCAATATCCTTGTACCCTGCAGTGGCATAAAAACTGAATGTAGGGCCCTTTCTTTATTACATATCTACTACCAAGTTACTTAGTTTCTTTCAGTAAACCACATATTGCTTCTCCTTAATCATAAGGTTTATACTAACATTAATTCAGTTTTCTTAATAAATTTCAAGATGACTGTATTTTTAACACATTAACTGACAGATCTTAAAGTACAAACTTCATCATATGAACCAACCAGCCATTTTAACAAGTACTGAATAGATCCATTTTATTGAAGAAGAATTAAATTAATCTCCCAAACTGGTTGGAAATAAATTATTCTGTTGTATATAGTGAAAAGTCAAACATATTTTGATTCTCCTAACTTTTGGTGTGGCCGTCTTTATTTGTTTTCTGTCAATTAGACACATTCTTTTGGTTAAAAAACAAAATGTTGGGTGCTCAAATTACCTGCAGGCTGGATGCCAACTTCATACATAGTGGTAGACTTTTACTGGAAAAAAATTATACATGTTTTTTCTGTGAAATGTATGTTAATTTATTTTACAGACGGACTTCTGCTTCTTTACAGACCTTACATATTCAGGTTGTGTCTAGACACATGGCCAAGCTGTTTTCTTGACTTCATAAATTGCACTGTGATTTTCTGTATTCTGTTAGCGCCTGTTCATGTGAACAGAACCTTATCAGAAAACAGAAACACTAAACCATTAGCAACACTGGATCCTTGCTTCACATTCTTGTAGTTTTCAATATTTCATAACTATAGTTGTAATCGTTTAATTTTGAGATGTAATTTGTTTTGTCATACTACGTTGAAAAGCAAAGTGGAGCAACTATTTTTTGGTGTTTCTAATTGAGCTCTAGTGTTATTGAATTTAACACTGGTCACAGTATGCCTTATTGTATATTTTTTTCAGGAACTTATCTGTTTTATGATTTTTTTTCAGTTACTATTAAATGGCACAGTGAATCAGAATATTTTCAGCAACATTCACTCCACACCAAATCCTTTACAAAAACATTCTGTTATAAAGCTCTTTCTTGAAGTTTATACTACCATTTCACCACCGAACCTAAACCTATTTTTTATAGTAGTATATCACCTGTGAGACATCAATGTGTTCGTCTGTGGCATGACTTGACATGACATGACATGACATGACGTCTTCACAAGCAATGATAAATCTAGTATGTAATGATACAGCATGGGATAATACAAGTTATTGGCCATGATTTAGCAACAAATAGGACTTCCTGAATGAACCAAGATGTTTTATGCTTTTAAAGAATGCTTGTGTGAATGATATATAATATATATTCTTAGTAGTAAATGTGCTAATGTAATTTGAACTAATTTCTGCAAATCAGTAGTACATTCTCTTGAGAAAGAGTGAAGAGTTTATAGTTATTAGGATTTAGTTAGTAAGCCTGATGCAACAAAGAACAGGGATTTAATGCTTTGCAAATGTGAACGTATGTTGAAGGATAGAAACCCACATTACAATAAAGGGTTACCTCTTATGTTACAATAATGAAAGGAGAAAGATTGCTGTCATACTGTTTAATAATGTAGTAATTATACATTATTTATATGTTGTACAGGGGCAGTACATTATAGTAGATTTTGATTCAGGGGATGTTTTGCTAGTGTAATTTTGTACATAGATCCACAAGTCATTTGTATTGTTAAAGTCAAATCAAGGATAACCTTCACTGGTGGCCAAACCTAAATGGCAAATGGCTAATCTGACAATTTGTAGTGTTATATGTGCTGTGTCTCTTGGTTCATCATGCATAAATTCAGTTAACACCATTCTTTCTACCTTGTGGCCATTAAAATCTATCATAACAAGACATTTCAAACTTTCTTCATGAGTATCTTCTTGAATTACTGACTGGGAAGAAAAATGACAATTTGTCATTCCTAGTTTGTAAAGCCTGAGAATGAACGTGTTTATGGTTTCCATTCCATTTGCCTGCCAATACTCGACAGGGCTTACTGACTGCATGTCTGCATGGTGTTAATTGGTTTTGTAGTTAAACAAATGTGATTCCAGCTTTATCTTCAAGGGAGAGCCAAAGCCTGAGATTTAAAAGCTTGATTTTAAACAATGCACATGAAACTTGTGGGTAATTTTAACCCTTTCATCAACATTTTCAAACTTGGTCTGATATTTGAGATGGTTGTTTTGATCCATTTTCAGACTGCAAAACTTAACATTTAAATAAATGGGCCACCTGTGTTGGATTCATTGTAATATTTGAAAAGGCGTGATTTAGTTCTGTATAGCACTGAGTCTAATAATTTTAAAACTCTCAAAAAATAAACTGGGCATGGTGAAGTTACATATTCTAAAATGAATGGACATCAGTCACAATGCTAAGACACTTCTGGAATCTGTCTTTAAAAAGATACTGAACAGAATTAATGACATGTAATTTATATATCTAAGCCCCATGATGTTCCTCTGGTAGAGGTCTCAAAATTTGAGGCTTTTAAGTGGATATATTCACAGACTACTTTCACTTTGTGTTAGTAAGTCCGTACTTCTCAGCGTCATAATATAGAAACACATTGTGTCATCCATTTGTCATAACTGTTTCTCTTGGTTTTGTCTTGTCATATACCATGTATAATTTCAGACCTAAGTAAGACATGGGAAAGTCTTAACCACCATGTGGACCCAAAGATGCACAGAAATACACAATGTAATGTAATCTTGAGTGTTTTGCACAGAAATATAAAATAGGTACACAATGTAATGTAATCTTGAGTGTTGTAACACCATATTCATTGTTACAACTCAAAAGACATTTCAAACAGGTCACCATGCATACAGGCTATATTTATCCATGGCAAAGACTGTTCAACGTAATACATTTGGAGAATTCTTTTATATCCATTGTTGCATCTTTAAGTCTATTTGTTGCACATGAAAAGCTAGTCTTCTCTACATAATACATTTGGAGAAGGCTTTTATATCCATTATTGCATCTTTAAGTCTATTTATTGCACATGAAAAGCTAGTCTTCTCTACCTAACATTTATTTAAATTTATCAAGGTGTAACCCATGAAGAAATGAATGTGTTATTAGACACTTCATGAGAACTGAGATTTCAAGGCTTGCGAAACTATAAGTAATATGTGAAATGTAACCACAGGCATCAAATAATAGAACTTTTTATTCTTCTTCTTCTTATTCTTCTTCCCCAGTGGCATGGTTTTCCAGTGCATGTTGCTGGTTGTCATTTCTGACTTTGGAGTCCATAAACTTACTAGTACAGCTGTAGTAATTATCCCTCAACACACACTTGCATGAACATGACTTTATCGTATATGATTTATACTGCTTTTATAATTATTTTTCTGTTTGAGGAAGTTGCTCAGTCCAGTAATACTATTATATTAACAGTCACATTTTATAATTTCTTCTTTCCTTTTCAGGTGCCTCACAGTAGCAACATTTGAATAATTTATTTCTAAAAACCTGTAAATTGAGGAGAGCTAAAATGTTAATGTGATTTGTCTGCCAAAGAAAAACTCATCCAACAAAAAGGGAATAGCAATTACAGAGTTTGGGTTTGATGCAAAAATATTTTAACTCAGTTTTGTGAATTTGTGTTTGAGCTGTCCAAAGTTTAAAGCTGACAAAGCTTACTTAATCTTTTGCCTTTAACTTTTATTGGCCATGCAGCTTGGCTTAAGCACAGTCCAGCTGGCCGTGTGTCACAATAGCATATTACTAAAGCATTAGCCCTAGAGTTGAAGTCCAGCCAGTATCCCCTTAGTACAAGGGTTTAAGTACGTTGGTTCCATATGATGAAGATAAGAACCACCCCATATTAAGTCTGGAATAATCCTAAGTTAAAATTCCTTCCTCTGATGTTTAACCATTTCATAATATCTAGAATATGATATTGTCCAACATTTATCTAAGACATTTGGAAATCAAGTTCCGTCTGCATTCCTATCCTGCTAATATGCATGGATTGTTTTATGATTTGTTCAAGAGGATGTTGGGATATTTAACTGAAATAAGTCAGCCGCAGTCCCAAAACTTCTCCATCATGTAGTAGAATATTAAACTAGAAAATGAAATGGGTATTGTTAGCCTAATGGTAAAATAATGTGATAATAACCATACATCAAACCAAACTCCATACAAAGCCAATTTAGTTAAATTATGACAAAATAGTAAGTGCAAGATCTGGAAACATAGTGTACGGGATGTCACATCTCTCAGTCTGTCCATCAGTTTCATCTCTACAGGTTTTGATGAAGTGTATTGTTTTGTATGATCTTAATATTACATAAGCTCATGTGAAATTTATAAGACTTCTCAAAAATGGCTCATCATAAAACAAAATACTGAACCTAAGTTAATTTGAAGCATTTTTGATGTTTTATATATTTAAGCAAATACAAAGGAAAATACTTATGTCTCTATGCAATTAACATTTTTATTGCTATTAGCTGTGACAGCGGTAAATTTGTATCTGAAACATATGAATGTCTGGAGCAGTGAACAGTGCAGAATCACAAAACATTTGGATAATGTATGTGAGCCTTTCCACTCTTGTTGAGCCTACCAAGAAGAACTGTGGGTATATGATTCCATTGAGTGGTTATATACTCCTTTGTGTGTGTTTGCTGTCTGCAAAATGTGAGACAGTGATGACACCATAAAATGCAAGGTGCATGTGAGTCTCCAGCTGCTTGCTTGATTGCTTTGCTTGCACCTAACCTAACCCAGTGCTTGGTATTATGTTGGCTGACCTGCATTGTAGCTACTCGTGGTGTCCAGCCACAACCACCATGTCGCCACCCACCACTGCACGACATTAGTATTGACGAGGATGACACAGAAGTGGACTTTCATGAGCATGACTGGCGCTTCGTCTCAGAGCCTACGCCTGAATTACCTGGTCAGTCATTCTTTCATGGTACTAATAGGGCTAAAATGAGAAAGAATACAGTTGTGTTACCTCAAGTCCATTCTCATACTACTCTTAGTTACATATGGGAAAATAGGATGGTTTACCGCAAGAGCAGATACAGTTGCGACCAATAACATGCATGTTAGTGGGTGGAAGAGATGATCCATGGCACGCAGGTAGTGAGGACAGATAAGTTATGCAAGGAGAGAGCAAAAGCTGTTTTTTGTATGGGTGTGAAACTTGGCCTTTGATGTTAAAGGAAAAACATAGACGGGTACTTAGGAGAATATATGGACCCAAGAAGGTAGAAGTGACAGGAGGCTTGAGAAAATAGCATAATTAAGAGCTCCTTAATTTTTGCTTGTCAGTAGATATTAATAGGATAATCGGATCAAGAAATATGAAATGGATGTGGCATGTAGGAAACATGGGGAGCTAAAAAATTTAATAAATTTTGTTTGAGATATCTGAAGATAAGAGACCACTCAGAATACCTAGATGTAAATGTAAGGATAATATTAAAATATATTATGGGGATCTCATGTTTGAGGGAGTGAATTGGTTTCTTGTCTCTCAGGATAGGTACATGATAATGAACCTGCAAGTTCCATGAAAGGGACGTAATTCCTTGACTGTTTGAGCATGCTATCAAGAAGGACTCTGCTCCACTTTGCACACTTTCAGTCTTGATACTACTAAAAGAAAAGTTATCATGGCAGCAATTATCAAGATGACTATGTTCTGAGATGTTGCACCACATAGTCTGGTAGAAGTATACTGATGCTTCAGAGGTGCTTGCTGCCTCTGTAAACAGGGAAATGATGGAGGCAACAAGCACATCCAAAACATTGGTAAGATTCTGCCAGACTACATGGTGCAACATCAAATTCACCTTCAAGTTAAATATTACTTGGACAGCTAGCTGTATGTGAGTATGTTTTATGTTTCAGTAGCTCTCAGTGTTGCTCCTTACTATATTTGACTCCTCAGTTTTGTAACTGCAGACAGGTTTCGATTCCTAAATATTTCAGGGGAACATAACAGTTATGGGGAGTGCAAAGTATTCAAGTATGCAACTTGGGTTGAATGTAACGTAGGCCTGCTAGCTGCAGTATCATAATCGACAAAATATGCTCTGGTAACTTTTAAGTGACAATTAAACGTGCTTCTTTCTTTTATTTATTGATTGACTTCATTTCTTTCATTTAGGGGCATTCTACTGCTTTGTGTTTTCAAAATCTGACATGTTTGTTTGATTCAACAGCAGTTTAACATTAATAACTGTTTTCAATTCCTAGACAATATGACTTACCATAACATGAAATTTATTATTATGCATAAGCACCTTGCCATGAAGGTAAACCACTTTGCAATATCAGCATTGATTCTATATAGTGGCAAATGTTCTGGCCACCTTTACCTCGAGACTAAACATTAGAGACTTGTTCAAGATCTTGGACATTTAATCTTTTATAAACTTGAAACTGAACAAGAAAGTCCAAGAAACAGTAGACATTTGGCTTTGCAGATACCTTTATCCTTTCTGGGCAAGCATTCTTCTGGAGTTTTTCTCTAATTACGATTAGAGTGAAGGTTTGCACCAGTCAAAGTAATACCTCATGCATCCAAGATATTTTCATTAGTATACTTCTGTAAAATTAAATGTACTTACATTAAAAGTTATTCAAGCATGGAAGTTCCTGTAGATGGCATGAAATTTGCAACACTTTATCCCAATTTTAACCCCATTAGCAAAGAAAACATTTAGGGTTACAAATTGTCCTTTTCTCCCTCCTCAGTTTGTTAGATACTATTTGAACCTGGAAAGTGTGAAATAACCCAATGAACAAACCCTGCTTCTGTCATTGCCAGTGAGCTAGAAACCTGCAGGAAGACATATTTCACTTTGTCCCTTTTTCTAGCTGTCATTTATTAATAAATGCTTTGTTATTCTGATTTGTTCACAGCAGAAGAGGGTGAAGGGATTGCGCCTGGAGATGCAGCAGAGAATGTTTTTGAGACAACTCAGACACAGACCAGGTATATTTGAGTTGATTTTCCATCTATCAGTAGGCACATTCTTTGATACTCTTTTCATTTCCTCTATTGAAATTGTCTCAGATATTTGAAAAATTGTTATAATCCAATGTAAGATTGACTCTAGAAAATTTAAATCCAAATAAAATAAACTGAAATTAGACTGATGCATGCTGTATCTTCAAGTAAACGGACTCCAAACACGTTCTCTGTCAACTTGGGCCTAGCATTCAGGTATAGCATTCCATTTCAATGCTAGACCAAGTCTGACAGTTTCTGAAGTCATATAGACTAAATTTAAATTTGACTTGTTCATATACATTGAACTGAAAACCATCTTAATTCCAACATTTAGGTTAGGATGAGATTTTGATGATGGTATTTTTATTCTGGGTTTGGCAACATGTGGACTGGTCAACAGATGCCAATATTTTGGAGAATCAGCATCTACTGACCATTCCATACAGTTCAAAAACTCAGAAGAACAATGAATTATGTATGTGTTGACTATTGAATGTTATCCAGACATGATCATGGATATTGTGCTTGTTTCTTCCTCCGACACTCATCTTACTCTGAACATGGGCCAGTCCTATGTTTGTTATTCTTTTACCTTGTTGGTTCTGTGTTAGCTCTTGAGTTATTTGCTTCCGCAAGTTTATTTTCCCATCAGTATAAAAAAAATCCATTACCTCTCGAAATAAAAATGTGTTAATAAAGTTAATTGTTTACCCCAAATCAGATATGTTAACAGTTTACATTTTATGTTTCAGTTATCACAAAGTCACCTAGTTTAATTTTTAATCAGGTGCATAACTTTATGCCATGGAAAAATAATATTGAGTTAATGTGCTCTAGATACAAATAAGTTTTCAGGAACATATTATATCTGTGACTTAGGGAGTAACTGTATTTTATTAGAAACTTGAAAGGAACCGAGTATTTTTCTGGTATCTGATAATATCAAACATAGAAAGAAGGGAGCTCACTTCACAATAAAGCTCTTTCATTTATTATTTGTGTGCCTTATATCCCGCATTTTTACTATGCTAATTATGGTCAAAATACAGTGGTTATGTAAATCCTAGAAATTTAACTTGATTTGCAATGGGTCTAAGGCCACTGGCTATAAATACATGGAAGAAAGAATCCATAGCTGTTTCAAGGTGCTAGTTCAGCATATTTGGATGTGATGGAGAAAATCTTTCCTTGGGAGATTTGTACTTGGTACTTTCTGAATGCAAAATAGAGCCACTGTTGTTGATGCAACCTGCTCAGTCAGGAAACTAAATATGTAACCCTTTAATGCCAAAGTTTATCTAAGAAATACACTTAATAATTCAGTTGATATTTCGAAGAAAACACAACATTTCATCATTACAAAGATCAACTTATTATTGCTGTTTAATGCTTTGAAGCCAAAGCTCATCTAAATAATAATAATTAAGAATAAAGTTGATACCACAAACAAAACAGCCCTCTACCATTGCAGATATCATCTGGTTAATGCTGTTTGAGGAAACAATCACTGTTTACACTGAAAATCATACAAATTCCATAAATACAGAATTGAGTTATTGATTTTTGGTGCAGACGGGGTATATACTTACCATTCGGCTTTAAAGGTTAAAGGAAATAATCCCTGTTTACAGTGAAAATCATACAAAACTCTTATGTACAAAATGCATAATTATTTATTGTTAAAGCAAGTGGTGCATATAATTACCACTGCACTTGAAATGGTTAATTAAGCCAGTCATATCATGTTATTTGTTTATTTTTTATAGTTTATTTAATGACACTTTTCAGTAGCTCAGACTATATGGCGTCTAATGAGAAGATGATAGTGTATAATGAATTGGAAAGGATTTGAAAGGAAGCATTTGTGGTCTAATTTAAGGTACTATACTGGCATTTGCCTGGAGGGCCTGAGGAATATCATGAAAACCCCAGTCAGGATAGTTTGTCTCAGGGCCGAGATTTGAATCTGGGACCTGCAGAATACAGAGCAGGAGTGCTAACCACTCGACCATGACGTTTGTTCATATCATGTTAGTTTTATTTAATAACCAAGTAATTGTGAAGAATGCTATGAGAATCTTGGCCATTTGTTTATAGTTTGTTTTAAATGTTACAGATGTATAAATGCTAATGCTTTATTCTCATGCTTTAAAATTTGTTGCAGAGTTGTTGATGGCAAAACAGTGACTACAACTACAACCACTAAGACAACAAAGGAACAGGGAAGCATGCAGGAACATCATGATAAAGATTCCTTTGATAAGGATGATTTAGGAAAGCTGAAATAAGTCATCCCACTCTCAAGGACATTTGAGATGGGTTTCTACCACCAGCATCAGCCCTTACTAGAACACTTCTCACATTTCAAACCAATGTATATAAAGTTTGACATTGTTTAAAGTTGAGAAAAGAAATTCCACAAACAGTACCAAGAAATAACACTGGTCCTTGAAATAGTACTGTCAGGAGTAGATGCTTCATTTTTGCTTCTAAAACTGCCAGTGGAATAATAGATATATAGTTTGGGGATTAGTGTTATCCCTTCTTATTCAGATTTGACATATTATCTTTAATCTCCATACAAATATAATACTGCCTGGCACCCATATTTGGATCATTTTTACATTACTTTTTTTAGTAAGTATGTGAGTAATTAAATATCATCACTTACAAAGGAAAATAGGGGATATGCCATACCTGAGTCAGCAGACATGTGCTCTTAGTATTGAATCCAGAGTTGTTCTATTCTTATCGAATTACTCATGTGATGAGTGTATTATCAGAACAGAGGCTGTGTAACATATTTTGTTTGTCTTTTGTGTTTTTATTATGTTCTCTTCCTATATTTATTATATAATTACTTGAAAACTGTTCTTCTGTCCGATTGGTGTGCAGATTAAAGCATTAAGTGAGAAAACATACAAGTACCATCTCTGATTCATATGAACAATTTGTGAAAATCATGGAGAGGTCTAGACCAGTTGCAGCTGTGAATCTGTTGTCGCAGAGATGCAATTATTTATGATTTATTTTTAGACAAATGCATGCACATCTTAATATTAATTTTGAATCCCTTTAATTTTACATCAAATATATCTTAATTTCAGTAATAGAAATTTAAATGATTGTGTATTTATTTTAAAACTTTGGAGGACATATTTAGCACGCACTTTTCTTGAAATTTACACATTGTGTAAACTGCAAAGCTTTATGCATTAAAAGGAACATTTGTCATTTCTAGCTTGATGAAATATAATCTGCTAGTCTCCATGGTGATCATTTACTAACAGAAGTCATGAAACGTTTTATCACATGGTATTGGCAGTAATGTTCACTTTGTTAAGGAAATGGCCTATTTTACGCTGGAGAAGGGATAATATGATTTTTCTATACTGTCTTGATAATGTAATAGTTCAGTAAATGCGTCTGTTTTCCCCTCTGGGAAGTTTATATATGCCCATTGTGATTTCTTCACTGATACGCAGAAATTCCTAACATGACGTCTATTTATGAAAGACATGTTGCCAATGACATTACAAAGAAATTTCCCTGATTTGTAAATAATCATCCCTAGATGTTGACAGTTACTGCGAAGAAATTCTGAATTTCTTCATATGAAATATCTCCAATTTAAAACATAATCACATTGACAAATATTGCAATGAACACTGTGAAGAAACATCCTTTACTTGACATTGTAACTATCACTCCATATTTATAATTATTGTAATGATTATCATGAGTACATGTTGTCTTATATAAATATACTCATTACTCTATAGTGATGTTAACTGTTGTATTATATCTATTATGTACACAATATTTTCACACATAAAATAACATGAAGAGACTCCCCTGATATGATGAAACACATTAATTGCTCTTACAGCAATGTTAAGTGTGTATACATCCATATACACAATATTTTCACACTAAAATAACATGAAGTGACTTCCCTGATATGATGAAATATACTTAAGCTACTGCACAGGAATCATATACAAATATGAATTCAAATTTGAGAAGTTGTGATGGCAGGATCACATCTCTCAAATCTGAAGAGCGATATGTATACCTACTTCGTACTTTAATAGAGTTATCTATTAAACTACACCTGTATTTTTAAGAATGGTGTTCTGCCACTTGGTGGTAATCATGTTATAAATGAATTATATGAGTAGCCCACCTCTAGTACCATAAGCCTCTGGTTTATGACAGATTCAGGAGTGATAAGCTCAAATCATAAATTAGAGATTGGGATGCAAAGTTGCATGAGTGATTATAAAATTCAGGTGTGCGATAAAAATGCTCCTAGTCAAACACATTATTATACTTGATGAATAGATTTGAGGGTAAGAGTAATAGTTACCTTCAATAAGTCATACTTGAAAATTATAGAAAATTAAAAAATGTACCATATATTATGTAATGTATAAGGTGAATCATGCAGAATGGCATAATGAGAATATGACTGTAGGCTTCAGGTACTTATTTATACCAGTGCAATGAAAATATCCCATGCCCTTTTCACAGTGTTGCTACTAACAAGTGCATTGAGACATGGTCTGTGGTCATCAAAATAAAATACCGCTCTGCAATCCTTTACTCCTTTCATAAGAAAAACTGAAGAAGAAATTAATATTTTGTGGCCAGTGCTTCTAACTATTGTGTTTTGCTTTTATGCTTGTACAGTGACTTGTCATTTAAATTGTGAGCATTATGATCTTGTATGTCCTAGTGTCATCACTTTTGTTTGTTACTCAAGATCTGACAGTCCCCATATTGCTTTACATACTCTTTAAGATTTGAATGTGTAGTTTAAAACCATTTCCACAAAACAGCAAAATGCTTCAAGCTAGTTGCTGCTTTAGAATGGAGGATTTTGCCAACTGAAATTTGCTGCAAACATTCTAGATGTCTGCACTTCTTCTAGTAGAGCTCTTGTCTTTGGCTTAGCAGCACAAAACCATAAACATGCAAACGTTTGGATTTAATGCTTGACTAACAACACATTTGAATTCCTCAGTTTTGAATTTTTTCTTTGGAAATGTGATAACATTAATTTACTTTATATTTGTATAAGGATCATAGTAACTCTTTACAAATAATTGTTGGATTTATTCAGGAACTATTTGAGTGTTGTTAGAACTTATCAAGCTATGTAACATCTGTCATTATTTCCTTCCAGATAATAATTATAATGTATCTTAGTTGTACAAAAACCTTACAGCATAATATACTTAATAATAAGCAACATTTAGCTGATGAAATAGCTTATTTAAGATGGAGGAAGATGAAACAAAAGTGTTGTTATTTTTGAAAAAGATTTTTTCTTAGCTATTGAAATATACTGATGATGGACTGTGCTTCATTTTTGAGTCAACTTTTATCATCATCATTATTATTACTATTATCAATAACAATATACTTGTCTTGAATGAATGTATCTAAACTTAAGATTGTTGCCAGTGTTTTTATTGGCTCAACAAGATGAATGTGTTAACAGATGAAATAAAGCTTACATAAGTGCCAGAACTTTTTCTCGAGTCTTTTTCACTTCAGTTTACTATCGTTAACAATTTGTTCTCCTATTCCTCCTGCTTGTATGAATTATAGGGTGTTACACTGTTCTTCACAATTTACTTACATATTTTCTTTGAATTTTTGTATAGGCCTAATTTATTCTTTTAGAATATTTGAGATATTCTGACAAACCTATTAGGTTCTGTGCAATTCATGTGCCTTACACTGCATCACATTCTTCTTAATGATCCATTCCCTCATCAATTTAACATAATGCGTGTCTGAAGTTCCCCATAGGCGATCATTTAAAATGTGTGGTTAAGCTGTTCTAATTAAATGCACAAACGGACTGAACTAAGCAATGAACCTCTGTTGCTCATGTATTTAATGAATAAACTATGCATTTTTCAGTCACTGCTTCTGAGTGATGTGCTGGTCATTGCTGCTAACTGAAGATGGGAAAAACAAAGAACTTATTTATTTGACATTCGATTTAGCTCTGCTTAAATCAAGAAACAGAAAGAGGAAATGTTTATTGAATGAGGCATCATGCTTCGGACCGGCGATACGGAATGCGCGCTGGTTCGAGTCTCGGAGGAGAAGAAATTTTCTCGTGAGCTTTCGACCAGTATATGGGACCTGTGCGAACCCAGCATTGTGAGGAAATTGGGGAGCTACAATGGGTAGCGTAATCCGGTCAGGGAAACAAGCAATGGCTTGGGGTTCGTCATGCTGACCACACGTCACCCTATATCTGGTTGGATGATCGTTCACCTGTGCTTAGGCATGTGAACGTGAGACCAGCAGTCAAGCTAGTCCGCTTTGACTCTCTGCAGCTGTTACGCCACGGATTTATTTATTTATGGCTAATAAACATCATCTGCTGAGGCTTCAGATCATTCTGAGTCACATTTTAACTCTGAGAAATAATGAGAGGATAGGCTACATTTGATTTTCATAATCATAGTATCCCTTGTAGTATTTGGTCATTTGAGCCTTTCATTATATGATCACTTTTCTTCTGCCACATGATTGGTATCCCATAATATAGGCAAGCTTTGATATTATTCAGTTAACCTCAACAAAGCTTTTCTCTTATTTGTGTTACTGCTAGCTTTCATATTTTGAGATCACAACCTAGAGCCTAAAAACCTGTCCCACTATACCCCATGTAGGCGCTTGTGGGGGAATGCAGGTATGGCTCCTACTCATTCTTAACCTCGACACTAGATGGAACTGAGTGCTTAGCATTACACCCTGGCTGCGCTTTACCCCCAGGATACTGCTCCATGGTGTTAGTTATACTTCTCACAAGACATCTCTGAGCTTTGCTGACCATTATAAATAAACACTGGTGGCCAGCCAGTCTAGAAGCAGGGAGGGAATGGTCGTGACAGTGCACAAGACGTCTTGCTCCCGACTTGCTTGTTCTATGTTCCCTTACATCTTAGTGTGACGTAGCCCACGCTCGCAAATATTTTGCATCCAGTACAACACAGGTTGTGGAGAGGAAAGGAAGGAATTTGCGAGTCACAGAGTACCGACTGGACTTCGTTACCACTAATGTGCCATCGACGTATTCTCTATTCTTTATTCATAGATGGAGAGGCAGTATGTTGCTTAGCAGAGATAGAATAGCATTCTGCTCGGCGCACACATTATCTGCCACAGATGGTACGCTGCAGCCGTAGGTCGTCAATGCAGGTAGTATCCAAGATCATGTTTTCGCACATTCGAACTCTCAATGAATATCCAGCTGAAGTATATTTACTTATGGTAGTTAATCATGAAAATAACTGAGCAGGAATTTGAAATTGATTATTAATTTGAAAGTTGGTAAAGTCGGAATTTAATCAGTATGTTTAAAAATATTTCCAGAAAGTCCTATTAAAGGTATGTATGCATAATTACCGTGTTAAGCAATATTAATAAGTGTAGTACTAACATAACATTTCTGCAGCGAAAATTTAGTAGGAATACTTTCGCCAATTCCAAGAACCGATATTAAAGATTGTGATTTTATTGTTCGTTTCTAACCACAATCTGTAATTTGTCAGTGTGTTATTTTACAGTGCTACAACCCATTTAAACCCAGACATCTTTATGTTTCGAAATTCCAGGGGACCATCGCTGAGGATTTCGACGTATTCGATCAACTATTGATATATATTCTGCATTTGTCAGATACTGGAGAAAAAGTGTTAGTGTTAAGGGACTATATCTTTTACAGACTTCAACAAAGCCTATGTTTCAGTTAGGAGGGAAGTATTACACAACATTCTGATCGAATTCGGTATACCACTGAAAGTACATAGTCTAATTATGATGTTCCTAAATGAAAGCTATAGTAAATTTCAAACAGATAAACATACTGCTCCATGGTGTTAGTTATACTTCTCACAAGACATCTCTGAGCTTTGCTGACCATTATAAATAAACACTGGTGGCCAGCCAGTCTAGAAGCAGGGAGGGAATGGTCGTGACAGTGCACAAGACGTCTTGCTCCCGACTTGCTTGTTCTATGTTCCCTTACATCTTAGTGTGACGTAGCCCACGCTCGCAAATATTTTGCATCCAGTACAACACAGGTTGTGGAGAGGAAAGGAAGGAATTTGCGAGTCACAGAGTACCGACTGGACTTCGTTACCACTAATGTGCCATCGACGTATTCTCTATTCTTTATTCATAGATGGAGAGGCAGTATGTTGCTTAGCAGAGATAGAATAGCATTCTGCTCGGCGCACACATTATCTGCCACAGATGGTACGCTGCAGCCGTAGGTCGTCAATGCAGGTAGTATCCAAGATCATGTTTTCGCACATTCGAACTCTCAATGAATATCCAGCTGAAGTATATTTACTTATGGTAGTTAATCATGAAAATAACTGAGCAGGAATTTGAAATTGATTATTAATTTGAAAGTTGGTAAAGTCGGAATTTAATCAGTATGTTTAAAAATATTTCCAGAAAGTCCTATTAAAGGTATGTATGCATAATTACCGTGTTAAGCAATATTAATAAGTGTAGTACTAACATAACATTTCTGCAGCGAAAATTTAGTAGGAATACTTTCGCCAATTCCAAGAACCGATATTAAAGATTGTGATTTTATTGTTCGTTTCTAACCACAATCTGTAATTTGTCAGTGTGTTATTTTACAGTGCTACAACCCATTTAAACCCAGACATCTTTATGTTTCGAAATTCCAGGGGACCATCGCTGAGGATTTCGACGTATTCGATCAACTATTGATATATATTCTGCATTTGTCAGATACTGGAGAAAAAGTGTTAGTGTTAAGGGACTATATCTTTTACAGACTTCAACAAAGCCTATGTTTCAGTTAGGAGGGAAGTATTACACAACATTCTGATCGAATTCGGTATACCACTGAAAGTACATAGTCTAATTATGATGTTCCTAAATGAAAGCTATAGTAAATTTCAAACAGATAAACATTTACCTGAGGCATATGTTATCCAGATTGGTCTGAATGAAGGAAACACTTTTTCACCATTACTTTTTTAGTTTTCTCTTAGAGTATCCCATCAGGAAGGCCCAAGAAAATGGAGAGACTAGAATTGATTGGGGCACATCAGCTTTTGGGCTATGCTGATAAGGGAAATTTATTGGGTGAAAACAAGTATAAAGTAAAACATTGAGTACAAGCTTGTGAGGAAGTTTGTATAGAAGTAAACACTGAGAGAAATAAGTACATGGTAATGTCTCATCACTGGATTACAGGGCTGTTATATGTGGGTAGCTAATATAGCTAGTAACCTCTTTGAAAATGTGTCAAAGTTTAAGTGTTTGGGAATTAGAATTTGAAGTTTTCACAGTGGTGAGTACAAAAATGGCCATATAGTCTGGTTAAAGTAAACTTCTACCAGACTATATGGCACTACAGCCCAGAAGACAGCCATGCTCAAATCGTGTAGTATCTTACACTTGACACTTTTCAAGTGTGCTCTGTGTGTGTGTGTGTGTGTAGGGTTGAACATATTTGCTTCTTAAAACACTTGTGTCAGAACTCGTTTTTTAGGTGGTAATGTATTTTTTGATTACCTGGAAGTGTTCAAACTTTTCTCACTCACTATTTCCTGCTGTGGTCTTCAGTAATGCAATACTGATAGGTGACAGAATTTTTAAACAGCCTAAACGTGAAGTTTCCATGGTGTCATGATTTGTCCTCATAAGGGTTTTGGAGACTTGCCTTTCTTGCTAGCCTGTTATTTCCCGAATCCATTTGCTACATGATTTTGCAAGGAATTATCACTCGGCATCCATACCAAAGTAGCAGAGGTTAATAAAAATTTTCCTGTTTTTATACTGAAGGGCAGCACCATCAGATAGGAGGTAGATTTTAGTCAGATCTTTCAGTTTACCAGAAAGAAATCTGCGTAGTTTGCTTTGAAACATGGGTTGAGGTTCTGAAGAGGTAACTTGGGGTCTAAAAGTGAAGAAGTAACACAAGGCTGGATGAAATTGCATTGTGAGGAGCTCATAGTTTATACTGTTGATAAAATATTAGGTTGATCTGGATTTATCTGGCCCATGATATGGGGCTAGTGACAAGCTTTTGTGAAGACTGGAATGAACCATAAAGAGGGGGGGGGGGATATCTTGACTTTCTGAGCAACTTAATGGGTGAACAGTTTACCTCAAGATACACTTCAATGCCAGGATCACACTTCTTTGTACTTTATCCAGTCACTATTAATCAACTACAAACATTCTGCTTGAAGCATATAATAAAAACTGAACTCAACCTAGGTTATATATGTAACCTGCAACATATTCCAAATTATGATTATAAAACACTGTAACAAATTGGACTGCTTTGTAACAATAATTCCATTTGACTCATTTTAAACTTGTGTTACTTTTAAATATAATTTTAACTATGCCACTTTGTAACATTCACTATAATTCTAACCATAGTTTATTTTTAACCCCTAGGTGGCATACTATACACAAATTTGCCTGAAGATAGTATAACCATACCGAAACATTGTTGCCGAAATAAAGAACATAAATTTTAAGAATATTAAGTCTTAATTATTACATATACTCATCTAATATGCATGCTAAACAATGGACTTTTGTTAATAAATGGTGTTCACTTTGACCAAACATCTTGTTACCAAAAGATGCATAGGTAACTGGCCAGTTTATTGTAAGGTCTCTGGCCATTCCTTTCCAAATGCCTACTCCACTGCAATATTGATCATGCTTCGCAGAGCCCCACACCTGTACAATGAAAGTACATTCCATGTTTAATCGTAGGCGTTTGAACTTCCTAGGTCGTCTATAATTAATCCGTCTGGCTTTCATCTCTTGGGGATTCTCAACAATTGGTTTTTACAGGATGGTGTTGTCAACTCCATACCCAACCCTCCTCCTTTTCGTGGGTTTGGGACCGGCTAGGAGTGAATATCTCAGACCTAGGCAGAGTTATTGTAAGGATATACTGCCTAAAAATAACCATTGTCATCCCCCATTCAGCTTGATATGTTAATAGAATTTATGTCGTTGTGTTAGCTTCTGTGAAATTGTTACTCTACAGTCAGTTTTATTTTGAGAAATATTGTTCATGTTTTGTTAAACTCGTAGGTACACCATTCAAGTTCCGAGGTGGCTGTTTGTAGTAAAGACCATGGATTTGAACTGTGATGATGTGTATGATGATAGACTTGAAGAATATAAAGGTTCCATACCTGGAGAAACTGAGAAGAAGTCTTCATCACATTCATTTCAAATGATGCCCGAATTTAATGAGAGGTAAATCTGTTATCCTTAACTGATTTACTGTTGCTGAAGAAAAATAGAATGCTTAGATCCCTTTATGCATGTTGTTTTTTTAACATTTAAAACTCTGTTTATGTGTAAGATATTAAGTTGTTACATTTTTGTGGGTGTGTAATTTTTTTAAACAAAATATTGATAGTACAGCATTCTGAATATTTTCCAGAACAACTCTGTAACATACATCAGAATTGTATCATGCATAACAATGAAACTGTTAAGATTTAGTGTGGAAGTTTGTGAAATACACTTCACAGCCATTTTGCCACCTGTTGTGGTGGGCTATGTGTACTGTATAATTAATGTTTAATTGCTGCATTTTGCAAGGGTTTGTACCTCCATTTTTTCTGCATTTACCGATTCGGACAGTCATTGCATGTACGCTTTTATGCTTTGTATGAGAAAGCATAAATTATTTCCAAAGCAAATCCATATATTATTGTTCGTAGATTCAGAGCAGCGACAGTGAAGGAATTGATCCATGGTGTGATGAATGATGAGTTGGGAGGGAAAAAATACACAGTGGAAGACGCTGAGATGTGGACTAAGAATATTGCAACCTCTGTGCGTAACAAGGTGAAAGGTAAGTGGATAGAAATGTAGTGAAATCTCCAGATGCTAAACAGTTTTGACTCTTTGTTAGAAATAGCTAATTAACAACTACAACAGCTGGTAATAGAACCTTGAACGTGAAGAATGCCAATAGAGAAACCTGCCAGAGACTTTATTGTGAGTCACTTGGTTCTGTCAGCATTACAAACTGATATTGTAAGATCCACTGTAACAGTTTACTTTTATCTCTGAGTCTTCTAAGGGATATTATGGTGAGTTCAGTGAACAGTAAAACAGCTAGTTTCTCATAGATGATGATTACATTTTAGAATTATAAAAACGTATTGGTAGAACTGTCTTGCGCCATTATAACACTTAACAAAGTAAGAATGGTTGAGAAAAATTTATACCATCTTCTGCATCTGTACTTTCCTTTCAAATAGCAAATTGTTTTTATCAAAACTCTTCATTGAAAATTATTTCAATTTCTTTGGATTAATTACAAAGTCAAAAAACAAAATTTGTAAATTGGTTGTGTTTTTATATTAAAAAAACTTTTAAACAAAACCTTACTATCATCAATAAACTCATTAAACACTTCTGCGAAGTACCAATGCTCCCACAGATAATATTAACAGGTTGATGACTTTAATTTGAAAATTAAATGTAATGTAATTTGTATTTAAAATGATTATCATATTGTTTAGCCTAAAATACATCATTCAGATGAGTGGTGTTGAATGGTGTCATTTTCATCAGGTTGTATTAGTCCATAGTTCATCATATTGTAATTGAACATCAGTCATTTGGGTCTTTCCAAGCCAAATCAACACAGTTCATAACCTTGCCTTCACTGATTTGCATGATAATTACAGATATATTAAATATCGTGGATGTAAGTATCCATATAAATTATTGAGCAGTCTAAGTGAAGTAGTTTTGAAATGTGGCCACAAGATGATGCTATACACTGCCACAGTTCAACAACCCCAGTAGCCACAGGCATACTACCAAAGTTCAACAACCCCAGTAGCCACAGGCATTGACACTTCAGTCTGTTTTACAGTGAAATTAATTAAACTCTGACACGTGCCTGTTATTGTTCAGGTGACTATAAATGATTTTTGATTATTTGACAAGAGGGAGGGAATGTGTGTGGGAAAAATTCATAAATTTGGACCATAATGACAATGATATTGACACAGTACTGCAATGTATATGAAAATTAGGTCCAGAATTGTGTCTATCAGCTTCAGTCAGTTGAAGCTTCTTGTAATAACAGGATACCTCAGCCAGTGTCAGTTATTTAAGAACTTCGAGGGAAAGTGTCGGTGTTGCATGGTGTTACAGAGCTCGGGTTTAAGAGATACAAGTACGTGGTACAAGTTGTGCTTGGGGAACAGCATGGAGCTGGCATCAAAATTGGCTCCCGCTGCCTCTGGGATGCTGATACCGATCACTATGCCAGTGATGTTTTTATTAATGTGAGTGTAGCCACCTCAGTATTAGTAGCAACTGAAGAATGCATGGAGAGAAGGTACAACGCCACTTATTGTTTGGTTTTGTGAAAAGGAATTAAAGCTTTTTTGACTTCCTCAATAACACTGATATTTTATGCCAAGAGTCTGATAGAGAAATTTAATAAATTCAGTAAAACCTTAATAATTCAAAGTTCTTGAGGCTTTAGAGAGTTTTTGTACATCTTGGAAACTAAACGGTGTCTATAGTTTTGTTGTTTGCGTCTGTAGATCTGGTAATAATACAGGGCAAGTCAAAATGA